CATCCAGCGCCAATCACCATCGACGGGAGGGATTTCAAAGAGGTTACTTCATTCACTCACTTATCTAGCATTGAGCATTGTCTCAACTACAGCCAGTCGGAACGGACAAGGATGTCAATCGAGCGAGAATCGGGAAGGTGAGCGAGAAACACATTCATCAACCTGAAAACAATCTGGAAATCTTCGTCACTCAGAATCAACAACAAAATTCGGTCACATTTTCAATGCAAACGTCAAGTCAAACGCAAAGTCAATCAGTTCTTCTATACGGATCACAAAGAATATTTCCAACAGCCTGTTGCGATGCAGATCTTTATCAACCAACAACTGTCTTCGCTGGATCTATACTGAAGATCAGATGGCCGGGCCGGAAACAATCACCAACAAGAAACTATGGCCGGGAACAAACAAACAAAACAGGAACGAACCAATCGCCAACCAACAAATATGCAGGAGAAAGTGGAGATGGATGGATTGGACACTCGCCCGCTGAGGAGGCCGCCTCTGGGTGACATCGTGCGCGCGTCAGGTCATTGGTCGAGTGGAACCGAGCCAAAAGGGAAGCGGTGAGTTGGTCGTCAGTGCAAGGGTGGGTGACATGGAGGCGATCGTGTGAAGAGGAGTTGAGACAGTAAGGACTAACATGGGTGCAATTATAAGTACAGCGGAAGACAGAAGCAAGTGGAGACGTTCAGTTTTAGCCCTATGTTCCACTAGGAATCCAAGGGAATAATAATAATGTAAGATGAAGTACAGTTGGAAATAATAATATTAGTGTTACTAATAAAATACAATCAGATGGGAAATAAGACGAGTGTTTTTATAGTCAAAATAAGTAACTTGGTAGAATGTTATGACGATGTGCGTGAACTGAAATGGAATTTTAAGATTATTTATTATCCTCCTCTGATTTGACTGACTGGTGGTAATAATATCTTCCATATCTCTGGTATTTGCGTCGAGTCACTTCTGTTGCATGTGTTGTGTTGGGTTGTTGTAGACTCGATAAACCTGAATTCAATAATCAACCTCTATCTATCTCCACCTACCCATATTAATTTTTAGAATTTTTACTCTGTCCCACCCACTCTTTTGTGTGGTATTGTGTCGATGCGTGCAGTGCTATCTGTGTCTGATTTGTTCCTAAATTACTTATCATCGTGGGAACACTCATTCTAACCTTAGCTAAATTCTTATGTTCTGATAATCTCACTACTTCGGACCTACTAGTTTGCTCTATGTGGTTGCCTTAGTTTAGTTATTTGAAGGGTTTTTTTGTAAATAAAGTTATTTTGTTTAATTTGATCCGAATGTACTTTAGCCGAGGTTAAAATGATTGATACTACGATGGTAAGTAATTTAGGAAAAATCAGACGGCAATTGCAATGCATACATTCACACACAACCACACAACAGAGTGGATGGGATAGAGTCAAAATTCTAAAAAAAAGTAATATAGATAGGTGGAGACAGATAGAGGTTGATTTTTGAATCTTGGTTCATCGATTCTACACACGCAACACAACACATACAATAGAAGTAAGTAACTCAATGCAAATATCAGAGGTATTAATGGAAGACATTATTACCAGCCAAATTGGAGAATAATAGATAATGTAAAAATGTATTCAAGTCACATTATAACATTCTAACAAGCTACTTATTTTTTGACTATAAAAAAGCACTCGTATTATTTCCAATCCGATTGTATATGATTGATAACACTAAATTATTATTATATCCGAATGTACTTTATCTTATGTTGATTTTATTCAAATGTCTAATCGCATCACTTTTTACTCATGTATATAAATGAAGCAAAAAAGTCAGTTGTGTGAGTAGTGAGTGCCATGATATAATTATGAGTGGTGGTAAATTTTGCTCGAAGCGTGGTAGGATCAGCGAATATTACTTACTGTATAACACACTGTGTGATTTTGTCAAAATAAAAGTGTATCCATAATAAAGTTATACTCTACCACCACAGTGCTCATTTCAAACCAGAAATATAATACACCTATCAGGGAGTAATAATAAATTACTTGAAATCAAATCTTTTTAATTTTTTTTTAATTTTTTGATCATAGCTTGATTCTATACGGTATTTTTGATACAAGTGTGGAATTTTCAGCATGTGATATCAGTAGCCCAATTTAGCCAGGCCGACCATTGATATCAGGTGTGCTTCGGGAGAGGATCAAATCCCGGACCATCTGCATGGTCGACGAGCGTCCTATCCGCAGTGCCACTTAAAATGAAAGACTCACTGTCTGACATGTTAAAAAACATTTTATGCAACTTAAATATCCCCATTGAGTCAGTCATATGAAAGAAAAGGCGTTCAGCAAAGAGTCACTCTTTTTATTAATGGTGGTGTCAGTAATGCAAAGAATTTAGACGACATCTTGGACATTTTCAACAACTGCCATTCTGTAATTCAATTTTTGCATTAGACAGGGAGTTCTATACAGAAATATCTTTTCTGAATGTCCAATTAACAATACGTGAACACTATGCGACACTAAAAGATGATCTATCTACAGAAAGTCAATATGGTATGGTCAACTCACTAACTATCATAGTTCGGTGACTCCATATACAAAACGAAACCTGATCTGTTCACTGAGTCACAGATTTCGCAGCATTTGCAGCCCAGACACTAAGGGAAAGAAGCTGAATACTCTGAAAAGAATCCTCCATGAAATTGGCCTACCCAGAATGCTTCATCATAAAAAAATCCATGAAGCCTAAACCATTAAAATCTCAAACACTTTCTCTTCAACAAAAGACTTCTCTACTTGGATCTACAATTCACTGCAGACTCACCGAAGAAATACTTAGAAAATACCTGGCCAGCTCATCCAAAATAACCTTCTTTGCGGCTGAACTTCGAATAAATGTCCGTACGAAACCAATGGTCCACATGAACGTGATGGACAAATATATATTCTCAATTTAATCCACGTTTCACAACCTTCTTCGCAACTGAGTTTCGACTAACCTGCTCCACAAAATCCAATGACCTGCATGAACATGCAGGATAATCTACCATTGTTGGCCCCATTGATGTGCATCCACCAATTCACCTACTCATGTGAAGCTAGGTATGTCAGTTGTACCCAGTGTTGTCTATACCCAAACCTATCATCGAACTCTTACCGAGTGTCATGGTTTTACATAGGACAAACTCACAACTCTATTCGAATCTGGATACAATCCTAACCCACCAAAGGGGAATTCAGACTAATCTATAGGAAGCTTGGGAATCCTGCTGAAAGAGTATGTACGAATCAAACTTCTTCAAACCTCAGAAGCAATGCTAATTCACGCATTTAAAATCCTGAATTCTGCGTAGAGAAGAAGCCTCTGAAGCCATTAAATCTACAATGGACCCGATCTTTCTTAACACTGGATGAATAATTTATGTGTTTTTGTTTCTTTATTGTATTAATTTCTTCCCTTACGCTCTATTGAATTTCTACCCCTAATTACCACTGTTGTTAATTTCACTCTGCTTCAAATATTTTTAAAGTCCTTTACTTTCTTAGTGGAACATAAGGCTTCAAACTACAGCCTTGAAGTTTCTGAAGCAGTGGTATTTGTTTTTACAGGGCGGGATTGCTAGCTTCGTAAGTTCAAGCTTCCCTCTTTATTAATCTTATTACTGGCTTAGCAAGGTGAAGAAGTGCGTCTCTGGCCGGTGATCGAACCCCGAACCACCTTGTGGTTGGCGACCATTCTATCACACTGTGTTATCGACGCACTAATCGGCAGAAAGCCTTGCATGACGTAGGTTTCGTGCTAGTTGCCACTCACCAGTCAGCAAGGTGTATCTGCAACCACCTTGAAGGAACTCATGTTTCTTCTGAGATTCGAACCCGTGTCACCTAGTGCAATTCGGGCTCGCTTCAAACCTCTTCAGCTTTTAATGAAGGTCTGTAGTTTGTTTGAGGTGCTCTTCATGACGCACCAAGTCTCTGATCCGTATAGTAGCACTGACTGACTTCACATTGGAGTTGAAAATCCGGATCTTATTTTTGATGCTGAGTGTTGTTGATCTCCACACAGACTTGAGAGTAATGAAAGCTTGTCTTGCTTTCCGGATGCTCATTTTGATATCCTCATCAATTCCGTCCGTCTGTAGTTGAAACGATGCTTTCTAGGTAGGTCAAGGAAGTTGTTTCTAATAGATTACTCCCATTTATGCTGATTGTTGTCTGTTGTTGTTGCTGTTGCTGTTGGCCAGGAATCTTCATCACCTCTGTTTTCTCTGCGTTCACCTGAAGTCGTATCTTCTCTGAAGTCTTCTTCTCCCAACTTGTTGTCTTTCACTTGCATATCTTCCAGTTTGTGGGAAATCAGACATATATTATCGGCGAAGTTCAGACACTGCAAACTTTTCGTGTGGATCCATTTTATGCCTGCTTCCTCACTGCCCGTTGTCTGTCGCATTATCCAATCTACTGCAATCAGGAAAACCACTGGCGATAGTAGGCAGCCAGTCAGCCTTGTCCTACTCCCGTCTTCACTTCGAAGGATTCCGTAAGTTTCCCGTTGTGGATTACTTGGCATGCAGAATTGTCGTACAACTGTTGGATGGGATGTATAATTGTCGGCGACAACCCATGGTAGTAGTGAAGTAGTTTCCGAATCACCTCTCGATCGACACTTTCTGCTGAAGGTCTTTTCAAAGTCGATGAAGTTGAGATAGAGAGGTGACTGCCATTCCAAGCTTTGTTAAATGATGATCCGTAGTGGGGCGATTTGATCAATACATGCTAACATAATTATATATATATATATATATGCCATTGTACAGCATGAGAATAATACCGCCAAAAATAGTTTATTCGTGAATAAGTAGTATAAATATTTCTAATGTTTTATAAACTGAAAAACCCACTATTCGGGCCTTCACCAAATCAATGACTTGTAAAAATACCTACCTAACAGGAAGGCAATTTAATAACAATAATAATAATGATAATTACATAACTTACATCTTTAACGAGACTGTAATTACTTGTTTGATGACTGCTTTCACTATGAACCTATCAGAATTATATTTTGAAAATACAAAAAAAATTAAAAAATTGATTTCATAATTTTGATACATGAAGCAAAATCGGTCCAAAAAATTATTACTAACTTCAGTATATGCAAGTAATACTCTACAAAACTAAATGTAGGCTGCAGAAGCTATAAATTAATTTAAGGATTAATTACGAGCTGGTAAAAGTTAGAAAACTGTCGAGTTTCATGAGGTACTGGAGATATATTTCCCCCCAGTTTGAGACTCTTCAGCACTGTACACTCATGACCTCTTTTAAACCCAGAATCTTCAGGTTTAATCGTGGGCTCGTTGGCCATTCAGCAAGTGAAATGAAATCCAGTAGCCCATGAATTTTAACTTCTTCTTAGAACCCACCATTCTTAGCGTGATACCTAACCAAGGATTTGATTGGCGTCAAGTTTAACAATGAACTGACTACAATTTAAAAAAAAACTATAAAACGCAAAGGGTAGCTGACGGTTGTTTTGTCCTTCTTCGGGCCTCTTCAGTAGCACATGCATATTGTCCTACTGAGAATTAAATTCATCCACCGAATAGCAGCAGTATTAATTATTAGACACTGACATGTAAACAGAAGCTGAACATTTCGGTTCAATCAATAAGGAAAACAAAAGTGACCTGAAAAAACAGTAACCGATTCCGGCTGCATAAGAGCTGGCTGTCATGGTCCAAGTGGTCTAGTGGAGCGTAAAATGATGGGCACTGGGTTCAAGTCTCAGTAGAAGACCATAGCTTACTAGGAGATGCGGGTACATCCTGATGACGAGTCCTAGATAGGACGAAATGAGTATTCTGGATTCTACCATTAGTCAGTATATATATGTATATATAAATGTATTTTTTTTATTACAGCTTGATCCCACACTGCATTTTTGGTACTAGTATGGAATTTTCAGCATGTGATATCGGTAGCCCGAATTTCGCAGGCCGACCACTGATATCGGGTGTGCGTCGGCAGGGGATCGAACCCAGACCATATGCATGATCGGCGAGAATCCTAACCACTGTGCCACCGACGCACATATAAAGCATGAATCTACATAGACTTTAAAAGTAACTTCAATTAATTGAGAAAGTTAGTCAAAGTGCTGTGAAGCTTTACCGATTGACAGAGTTACCTAGAATGTACATGAGACATTTACTCTTTCAGAGGTTATAAAATAATTCAAATGTGATGAAAGCGCTCGTTAGATTAACATTCTATGTATTTGACATTGCAGAAAGGTACGTTTTCTCCCTAACTTTATGCTATTAAGATGAAGAACTAAAAACGAAAATTTCCCAAGCTTATCGACTTAAACGAATGCATGTGTTAAGCAAATGTCTATATTTTCATTTCTTTTAAAATAGATGCTAACATTGAAAATTAAATCATGGGAATAAGAGGCGAATTGTGAAATATTAACTACAGAGCATAAACGTGTCATTTAGTTTCATATAAATAAATTATATCACGCAATATTTTAAGATCCATAAGACGCTATTCTTTCTATATTCATTCCTGTAGGAAGTCTGACTTGGTTATTCAATTTAATTTTGTCACTGTCTGCGATAATATGGTATGCACTAATTCATTTCCACCCAGTCAAAGTAATTTATTCTTATGTTACGTCACGAGAGTATGTCAGTAAGAGAACCATCGAGAACAAGGGGTAGTTGTCTCACCCCAGTGTGGGACTCCTCAGAAGTGCACAGTGACAGTCCCTTTAAGGATTGAACCCAAGCCCTCCAGGTAACGAAAGGTGAAGCGATTGACCATTCAGTCGCTGGGATAGGAATCCAATAGCAAAGGAGTTATTATTATTATTGTTCCCACGGGTTCCTGGTGGAACATAGGGCTAAAACTGAACGTCTCCACTTGCTTCTGTCTTCCGCTGTACTTATAATTGCACCCATGTTAGTCCTTACTGTCTCAACTCCTCTTCACACGATCGCCTCCATGTCACCCACCCTTGCACTGACGACCAACTCACCGCTTCCCTTTCGGCTCGGTTCCACTCGACCACTGGCCTGACGCGCGCACGATGTCACCCAGCGGCGGCCTCCTCAGCGGGCGAGTGTCCAATCCATCCATCTCCACTTTCTCCTGCATATTTGTTGGTTGGCGATTGGTTCGTTCCTGTTTTGTTTGCTTGTTCCCGGCCATAGTTTCTTCTTGGTCATTGTTTCCGGCCCGGCCATCTGATCTTCAGTATACATCCAGCGAAGACAGTTGTTGGTTGATAAAGGTCTGCGACAGGCTGTTGGAAATATTCTTTGTGATCCGTATAGAAGAACTGATGACTTTGCGTTTGACTTGACGTTTGCATTAAAAATGTGACCGAATTTTGTTGTTAATGCTGAGTTGTGTGACGAAGATTTCCAGATTGTTTTCAGGTTGATGAATGTGTTTCTCGCTCGCCTTCCCGATTCTCGCTCGATTTGACATCCTCGTCCGTTCCGAATGGCTGTAGTTGAGACAATGCTCAATGCTAGATAAGTGAGTGTTAGAAGTAACCTCTTTCAAATCCCTCCCGTCGATGGTGATTGGCGCTGGATGTTGCTGCTGTTGTTGTTGTTGTTTGTGGTGGTTGGTTATTTTCATAACCTCCATCTTGTCTATGTTCACCTGGATGGAGTCCTGTCTCCGCCGGCTGCTTCTTTAGCCAGTTTGTCGGTCGAAGGAGTTATAACTTCTGCAAATCAGAGATGTATAACACCGCAGTCAGTAAAATTCAACTGATAGCACCTACCCTAAAACTCAGCTTGATAGATCCCACTGGTGATGACTTCTTACTAGAACTTCAGGAACTCCACCCCGAGGTTTAGTCATTAATAAGCATGAAATTCGTTTTAAAATGTGTCGGTTTGAAGCGATTTGACTGAATGGTCAACTATCCCGCCTCGTAACCTAAAATTAACACATTTGATCTCTTTTGGGGTCAGGAATGAGTACTGCAGATGGGTTCTAAGTTCCTTTGAAGTGGCAACCTAGTACTACCTGGTTTTCAATGGTTCTCTAACTGATATCACCTCAGTATATGTACCACTCATTGTAAAATTAATCATTTTTAGCCTTCTTGAAATGTACTAACTAAATTAAAAACATGATAAGCTTTCAGATATGCTGCTTTACCTGAAAGTTACTGCTAGAAGTCATCATATGAATCTCGCTATTCATCCATAATTCAGACTTTTCAATTAAACCACGTAAAGTATCCAGATATCTTTTGAGTTGACGATAAACTTTGATCCCTGTATCTGATACTAACAGTTGCACCTGAAAAAAGAAACCACACAAAAGGAGTGGTAAAATTTTAAACAGATATTTAGGCTTGAATCCATGTCATCCGTTATCTGACTGTGAAGGCAGGCTGAGTTAAGTGTTTAACACACTGAACAACAGCACTAAACAGTACGTCAAAAAAACTTAAATGATGAAACAAAACACATAAAAAAGAGGATTTAGTGTCAAATAACTATCCTGTAATATTCATTATAAAGACCAACAGACATCAAGACAAAGACACTGTTGAAGATAATAAGGATAACATAGAGAAAGAGGGAATATAAGGCATCTACAACTTTAAGAACACAATATTCAAAGAAGAGACTCTTTTCAACGAATTTATTATCAAGCTGTACGATCGTATATATATATATTATATATATATATATGGTTTTTCTTCTAAGAAATTATATCCAGTGGGGGAATTAGGTCAAAGACGTGAATATATATGAAATAATAATAGTATGGAATTCAAAGGTGATCAAGCTTCAGATATGCTCAAAAATCGTCTCTCCACCAGTTCAGTCAGTAAGACGTCCTCTGCAGCAAAATTACATATGACGATCACTAGCCGCAAGTTGTTCTCAGCCTCTGTAAAAGATAAGCTCCCCTGTCTGGCCGCCCCCATGTGCATCTACCAGTTCACCTGCTCCTCTTGTGGAACAAGGTACATTGGCCGTAGTCAGAGGACGCTTTCCACACGGCTACGAGAACATATTCCAGCTGCATGATTTACAAGGGAGAAAGGAAGTGTGTTCGAAGCTCTATGCTGAAACAATATTGAACTCTATCTTATCAAATTTCACACCATGTTATGTAACATTTTATATTCGTCTACTGATCCTACAATTATGTACCCCTTTCCAAAATCTATACACCTTATGTATTATTCTATATATGACATTAATTATTTTGCCACTTGACATTAAACTATGATTATAATCACAAATATTTTAATTGCATTTCATACTACTACTACTACTGTTATTATTATTATTTCATGTGTTCACACCTTTAACCTAATTCCCTCACCGGATATAATTTCTTTAGAAAACCATATATATACGATTGTACAGCTTGATAACAAATTCGTTGAAAAGAGTCTCTTCGCTGAATATTGTGTTCTTAATGCTACAATGGGAATTATTACATTATAAAAAAAATCTACAGTTTTGCCATACAGAGAGGGGACATCTGAATCCATATGTAGGATTCTCAATAAAGCTGGAATTAGGATAAGATTAAAAACTATAAACTCACTTAAGTAGGACAAGCTTTGTAGGCTATAGGATCCGGTGGACCCATTTTAACAAAATAATATTATTTAAAAAATACCCTGCCATAACTGTGTGGTCAATTACACAGGTCGAACCAGTAGATCGAGAGTAGTCAAATTATCAGAACATAAGAATTCGGCTAAGGTCAGAATGATTGACCCCGGTGAAGATCACTAATTCACCAATGGTACATCATGCATAAGAGCACAACCACACAATACAATGAGATAGAATTGCAACTTTAAAATGTAATATAGGTTGGTGAAGAGAGATAGAGGTTGATTATTGAATCTTTGTTTATAGAATCTACACCCAGCACGTGCAGTGGGAACGACTTATCAGCAATAACAGAGATATAGAAAATATTACCACCAATCAAATCAAGTGACAGGAAATAATGAAATCATATAAACAAAGTCAGAAAGATGTGTGAGTAAGTTGATATGATAATGAGTGGCAATAAATTGTGCTCGAAACTTCGTTACCAGTAAATATTACTGTATAACACGGAGAGACATTATCAAAATAAATTTTCGTCATAATGGAAGTATACTCTACTACGGTTCCCAAGTTCCATTCTCATAATAATAAGAAATAAAACATATACCAGTCATTCAAGTATTGGCTTATAGGGATTTGATTGATTGGTTACAGGTTTTCATCATGAGCTTACATTGGTTAGAGAACCGTTGAAAAACCAGCTGGGAGTACTGGACAGCTTCTAGTTTGTGACTCTTTATTAGTACGCGCCCACCGAACCCAGGATCTTTTGCTCACTGGCGACTGGCCCTGAGGTTCTAGCGAAGAGTCATGATAAGTAGGCTGCGGCAGGTCGGGTGTGAGTACAAATACTAACCGAAGACACTGGCTAGCATTCGCGTTTTGTCATGAATTAGCAGAAGTTAGGGTTCATAGGCTGGTCATTGGACCGGGTCCAAGTGGCTGAACGGCATACGAGCTCGCCTTACAACCAGAAGGCCCTGAGTCCGAAACTCTTGTGATGGGTGCGTACTGATGAATAATAGTCTCAAACTAGGACTAGTGAAACAGCTGTCCAGTACTCCCAGATTTTCCAATGGCTCTCTAACTAATATCAGCACATGATGAAATCCTGTAACCAATATACCAGTCAATTTTTATTTTAACCATCAAAGAGGAAAATAATGGTAATAAACTATTGGATAACAGTTCAATGCCGATGAAATTAGTTATCTCCGACTGAACAGCATTTATAATTAATTTTTTATCGTGTAACGAGAAATAAGAGTTTTTTCACAATTCACTTAATAAGAAATTGACATTATGCGAGGAGAACAGTTGTAATTACTACTTTCGTGAAGGATTTCTCCTATACAGCTGAGAATATCAAAGCCAGATAGAGTTACAAAAGCAGCAGAGACCTTTATTAATCCCATATGACTGTGAAAATCTCCCGCACACAGCATATAGAACAGGATTCGCATTTTCAGCAATAACGTCACAAGTTACTGCTTTTATATAGATCAGAGAATTGCCGTGAAAGTAACAGAAATAATTTCCAATGGATTGTTGCAGAATTTCGTTAACATATGCTTTCTCTGTCTTGAAAGCGAAGATTAGATGATCGGCCAGAAAGGATAAGGAACAAGAAGTTCCGTCAATGAACCCAACTAACAATCTATCAGCCAACAAATATGGAGATGAGTCAGACACACGCTAGCAAAACCGTTGAGTGATATTGCACTCCACGCTTTCAAGTTAAATGCAAATGAAAGCAACGAGGTGGTCATGGGTAAATGAGTGACAGAGGTAGATCGTGTAAGGAGGAGGAGGTGTACACCTACAGACGTCTACGGAGTCAGCTAAAAAAGGAATTCAGAGACAACAGTGAAGTACTGACGAGCTGCTGAAGCCCCATGTTCCACTGGAAACACGAAGGAATAATAAAAATGCTTCTTATATGTGGAAACTATTTAAGGAAATCACTAGTGGTAAGCAGATAAACAATTTACCATAGTCTTTTGATGTATGTACTCTTAATAAATCTTTTATTTACTCTCCCTCAAATGCCATGCTTTCCAGCATCACTAGTGTTAATAATAACTACTTTCCAGGTTTTAACACAAATGATGTTCAAAAGTGCCTCAAGCCTCTTAACCCTTCCCACAGCTTAGGTCCCGATTATGTACCTAGTACTATAAAACAAATATTAACAAGTATAATAAACAAATTTGTACGAGTTGTGATCAAAATTTGACCTCAGACTTACAAATATTGATCTACCTTTGTTAAACACTTTAAACACATTGTGTATGTGTGTGTGTGTGTGTGCGGATAAACAGTTGTAAAATAATGTCTTAACGTCTCCATGAGTAGATATAGACAGTCGGAAACTTTGACCAAGTTTTATTAATTAGTGATACATATCCACTGTTATTTATTAATCAGGATTTCCTATGCGTCATCTAACATCACACCTTCATGTCTGTTCAAACTGTTAGTATCTAGAATTTTATGATTAGACGTATTTTCAAAATTATGGTGTTTAGGATTAGAGTTTACCTGAAGTACCCTGTCAAACTTATTACTTTGTCTTCTTCCTGAAAATTCAGCTGCTTTATTCGACCTACTGAAGTTGTCAGGTGACTTGACAGCTACAGATTTAGGATATGCATTCTGTTGCAGACAACGGAGAGTGGAAACACGATGATTGTGCCAATTACATAGTGTTTCTTTGTTAATTCAATTCGATTACAAAATAAATCAAATGAACTGTAGTCAAGATTTGACAGAATAGTTCTATAATATTTGGGCTCCAAGTGAGAAATAGACATTTGTAAAAAATTATACTTGTAAAATCTCAGCAACTCAATCTTTAGAAAGAAGACAGTTTGACAGGGTGCTTCAAGTAAACTCTAATCCTAAACACCATAATTTTGAAAATATGTCTAATCATAAAATTCTAGATACTAACAGTTTGAACAGACATGAAGGTATGATGTTAGCTGACGCATAGGAAATCCTGATTAATAAATAAGAATGGATATGTATCACTAATTAATAAAACTTGGTCAAAGTTTCCCGACTGTCTATATCTACTCATGGAGACGTTAAGACATTGTTTTACAACTGTTTACCGCACACACACACACACACACATACACAATGTATTTAAAGTGTTTAACAAAGGTAGATCAATATTTGTAAGTCTGAGATCAAATTTTGATCACAACTCGTACAATTTTGTTTATTATACTTGTTAATATTTGTTTGATAAATCATGATTGGACAAAGTTTTTAAAAACTAAAGATGTTCCTTTTATATATAAACCTGTTATGTTAATTTCGATTAATTTCCCTGAAGAAGTTCGGACCAGATTGCCGAACGAAACGTTGGAATTACTCATTTCAATATCGCTGAGATTTTACGAATATAATTTTTTACAAATTAGATGCAATGTTGTGATTAATGCTGAAAATTCAATTCTGTATCACAAGTACTGTTTTCGGAATAAAGTAAATCATTATTATTGTTATTATAATTATTATTATAAACAATTTCTCAGTTAAGTAGTTGGATTCAAAATCAACGATAGACAGGGTTTCTTTTCATCATTCGAATGATATTTAAGCCATCAAGATCATATTTTGTCGACAGTAGAAGAGAATGATATAACCTTGGTGATTTACATATATATATATATATTAGTAAATTTCATCCATTCACACAAATCATTCACGTTGCTAACAATTTAGAAAGCTTATAAAATTTACCTGTTTAAACTTTACAATAAGTTCTTCTTGTTGACCAAAGTGTCGAAATAACAGTTGCAAAGATTTCGACTTTAACTCAACACTTGTAGAAATGCATAGACGAGCTAGAACGTTAACCAACAACTGACCATTATAACCATCTATATTTAGGATAGTTAGTTTACTTTGCACCATTTCACAACCATCGTGATCATCATCATCATCAGTTCGCTTTTCAACTCTGCATATAACAAAATGGAAAAAGTGGAATATTTGTTCACGTGAAAACAATTTTAGTTCAGCAAATGTAATTAAATAATTGTCGTATTTTTCTTTCCTTCACGTTTCCAGTGGAACATAAAGTCTCACACTAGTGGCCGGAAGTTTCTGTAGCAGTGTTTAATTTTACATGCTCAACCTTTCCCCCTTACCAGCATTATTTCTAGCTTACCGAGGTAAAGGAGTGTGTGCATGGTCGGCGAACGTCCTAGCCCCTGTGCCGCCGACGCACAAATGTTGTATAAATCAAAGTTTTCATGTATTGATTTCTATCATATTAGACTTCGTCACCAGCCAATATCATCTACAGAACCACTGAACACCGAAAAGTACTAGACAGACGTTTCGTTCTAGATTAGGACTCTTCAGAGACACTAGCCCATGGCTTTACTGCTGCTTGAAATCGGGACTTTCAGGTTACCGTATAGTCAAGTCCGCCATGTCTAAATGTGGTAGAGGCAACAGCTCTTGATGCAATTGATTTCTACCGTTATATCCTCTTCATATGGTTTCTACAGTGGCTTTAATCTGAAACATGAAAACAAGACTTCAGCAGAAAACGCTCCTAAGAATATTAAGCGTCTTTCATATTCATCTAATGCCACACTGCTAAAACGATTAAAGTATTTCAGAGGTCATTATTATATTTTGAATTTATAGTAATTCCTCGCCATCCCAGTAAAACAGTGAATTTCACAGTTTTGAAGTTTTAGTAGCTAACATCACGTCCAACCTTCCCTTTTACCAATCTTCCTATTATCGGTTAGACAAATTCAAGGAAATTCCTCTGTCAGTAATAGAATCTGAACCGCCTGCGTGGTCAGCAAGCGTTTCACCATTGAACCACCGATGAGGTTGCAAGAAATGACTGCTTTCTATCGAATCTATCACTTTAGATGACTGTCAAGACAAATCTAAAACCAACCCAATCAGCGCTTTAAATTTCTACACAACTGCACATTTCTAGATATCGCAGTAAAATAGTAAGTAGGAAATAAAGGGGCTGAAACATTCATTTAAAAAATGAACCAACATATGGGTATGAAAATAAAGGGAAGGTAAAGGAATACACTTGAATCACACAGCATATACATAAAGAATACATCTGTAACACTGATGGAGAAAGCTGCTAACCACTGATCACCACACGAAATCATATGAGGTGGAGTACACCTTCTGTGATGTCTCAGTGCAATCGTAGAAAATCCTTCCTAAAAAGCTGCTGATGATGACATTCCATTCTAGCAAAATGAATTGTCATTTTGACAGCGGCCACCACCAACTGCCGCTTAATTTCTGCACCTTTATGGTCCAGTGATTTGGCGAACACGTCACGAAAAGCATTTTGAGATGGCCTATTGTAGACACTCATAAACAGATGTCTCCATCATCTCAATACTGAAGGTCAAATACCCGGTAAGGAATGGATTCAGGCAAAGCACAAACTAATCAAGAACCCACCGCCTTAAAATTAAGTCGAGGAAAGTGGATGTGGATTTGATACACACACTTAGGGGACTTTTGAGTGAGATGCGAATGGAAAATGAAGCCTTGGGCGTGTGTTCACCGGTGACACAGACGATATCATGTCAGTGGGAAATGAAAGTTTATAAGCAAGCTACAAATACCGATAGAGAAGAGAGTGAATGAGAGATGTGTTGCTGACTGAAGCCATTTGTAAGACTCGGAAGCCAAAAGAATAGTTATAGTATTGGCCACTTGATTGTAAATTGAGGATGTTAGATGAAGTGATCACTAGTCGCGTTATCACATCACTTAGAAATGTGAATTTAGAAAAAGTCACACATTGACTGTCACTCATTTGTACTTAGTCCAGAGACTGGTCAACGGACTGACTAGCAGAGAACAGAAAGGCCTCGTACAAACGTGCATCAGTTACTTTGAAAGAAGAGTAGAGAAGTAAAATGACACGAACTGCCTTATGCAGCACAATTATTACACATGACGTTTTTTTAAGCAATAATTATTACTCACTGTAAATGGAACAGAGTGGTAAGTTTGCTTTTGACCAAACTTGATAGTTCTAAAAAGAAAAGAAAAAGAAGAACACTAGGATTATAGTTATCTCCATAGTATTTACTCCTATGCATTAGTACTTAAGGGAAAGTAAAAGCTTGGAATGTAGCTGAATCAAAACTAAAGACCTCCCATTTTACTAGCCTGACAGTCTTGGCCAACTGATTTACAAGAATTAACCGCTAAATTAGGCCACCAACTCACTGCTCAACTGTCACATTAATAAACTGTACGGAACTCCCCGTCTTCTATTACAGGTTTTCAGTAAGTCCTTCTCTATTTATCTAATTATAAAATACTCCTTTCATAAGATTCGATTTATCAGCACATATATATATATATATATTTACGCTTCATACTGACTGGCTGATTGACTGAGTTCCAATTAGACCTTTGCACAGAAGTGCAGCAGTTCAAGTTGCCATATCCAGACTCAAAAGAGATTCAGAAGAACTGTAATGAGCAGAAATCTGCGGCATGAAGGAGGAACTGTAATCTGGAGGAAAAAATTGAATTTTTAATGGATATAACTGATCATGAAGAGTGATTCTGATACATATTGCCAACAGTCTCCAGTAATTGGTTTTTTAGAGTTTCAAGGTCCCCCAACTAGGCAGTCTACACCTCTCCAAGTGACTGGATCAAAACAACTGTCAAAACCTCGTGGACTGACGCCATCCATGTTTTGGTTTCATCGCTCCAAACTATTCTCTAACCTAATATATACATAGACCAGGCAGGTTCAACATATTCTGAAAACACTGTGACTAGTCTAAAATAGAAATACTGAATAAATTTCATTATTACAGATGTGAACAGGTTATTAGTTTGAGAAGTATACAATAAACACTCTGTTCTGCATACATACACCTCCGTAACATGTGTAGGACTTCACTTCCTCAACTTAGTAATAAGCCTAAGCTAATATACACAGTTCTTATGATTTTGATGTGAATGCTTTCTCTGAGCTGGGTGTTTAACATTGTAAAGTGTTCATTATCCTTATGGACGACATCACTCCAGCACAAACTTGTATATGAAATGGACTTATGCGGATTTTCTATAATGATATAACTGTCTCTCAGACAAGTTCTGTCATGGTTGCTTGATAATTTGTATCAATACTCATCGTTTTTATTGACCTAGAATTCGAATTTTGTTATCATGTGATTTATCCATTATTAGTCGATAAATATGGTCTATAGTAATGTCTTTAATCACCGATTCGTCTGAATAACAAGGCTTCTAGGAAACCCAGGCATTTCTGGTGTCTGATTAGTTTGACGATTTCATCATGAACTGACATCAGTTAGAGAACCATTGAAAAAAAACCAACTGGGAATACTGGACAGCTGTTTCGTCCCTTTAGTTTGGGACTCTTCTTCAGTGCGCATCTACTACAGGAGTTTCGAACCTAAGACCTTCGTAAACCATTCAGCCACCAGGACCCGATCCAATTGCCAGTCCGTGAATTCTAACTTCTACCAATTTGTGATTTAGCGTGACCACTTTGCTATATCTTCTCCGATGAATAACTGTCCTTATACTTTCGACCTTCTGTACCGTACTGATCACGGCTTCCCACTAGAACCTTAGATTTAGTCCCTGAATAGGACCAGTCGCTAGTGAGCATCAGATCAACTGTTAAGTGTTGGTTTGTGTGGGGATTTTGTTTTCTGTTGTGTGGATCTTTTGGTCTACACAATAGTGAATGAAGGGACTGTGTTAGTTTGTATGCAGTATCTGTTCTAAAGGGGTTTTAGTATTCTATCTGTTACTTTAGGAACACTCTTTACACATAATATAATAATTATAATTATCATTTGCTTCATTCCAAAACACTACTTGTGATACAGAATGGAATTCTCAGCATTTTACTACAGTATTGCATCTAGTTAGTACATCGACAATAAATAAAATTCTACATAGATTAAGGGTGGTTAGTCTCAGTTAGTTTTGACAGCAACATATTAGCATATAGGTCGGCAGCAGAGCCAAAACTGAACAGAATGTTTGAAGGTGTTAGAAAAGCAGATGCTAGCATATTTACTGTGGTAAGAGGCAACAAAAGGTCGAGATATACAGAATGTGAAAGAACGAAGAAGAAGAATGTTTTAAGTAGAGTTAGTAAGGAAGAAAGAAACAAAGCAGCACATAACAGAAAAAGAGAGAGAAAAGGAAAAGAAAGAAAGAAATCGTTGTACCTATAAATGATATGAGTTGGAAAGACATGACCCAGTTGTTCTACTGACTTTTTAATAAGTATAGGTATCACACCTAATGCTTTCTTTATTGCACAGAACACGAGCTAATCAGGGTATAGTTGAGTTTTGTACTTACTTGTGCGAGCATATAGTTTTCTATATAGGCTTCTGGTTGTGCCTGATGAGATACAAGGGGAGAATTGTGAATGAAGAGGGTGGTGTGAGTTAGATAAAATGGATTGGTTTGGCCTATTTTGCACATGAGTCCATGAGTGCTTGTCGACCAGAATATTAACAAGCTGGTGCTGATGAGCTTTCCTGTAGTTTCTGTGGGTAGTTTTTCGTCAATATTTCAAATTATACCAAAGCTTGCTGTAAAGATGTTTAGAAAGACAACGACAGCTTCGTCAACCCTCTCAAAGAACGCGACCACACCAGAACCATCCACCTAGTTCTTATAATTTTCTAATCTTATATACATCGATTTCTTTTTCACTTAGAACAGTCGTCTTCTATGAGAAAGGATAATAGTAAATGAGTACTAATCATAATAATAAGCAATTCACTAGCTAACTGCTAGGAAAGAAACATCCAGTCTTTTCGACAAAAACACGGTATGCTCATTTCAGTCTTGTTTATCTCTTAAACATGAGATGAATGAGATATTTTTAACAAAAATTTAAGAATTAGTGGGAAAACAAAATGGTGAGAGAAAGCTGAGACAATATATATATATTCCCTACAGACATCTTTATATAAGACACCTAGAAGACAGTCAGTTATAAATACCTTCCTAGACAAAATATTCTAGTGAAATACATATATGTGTATATATAAAATTTTATTTAGGTTTATGATAAATAACGAAGCCAGGGAACATATTGTTTTGGAAATGTGATTTTCTCCATAAAACTAAAAATATTACGACCAGATATTTGTTAGTTAGTTAGTTAATTAGTAAGCTAGTTATACATATATATATAGTTAGTATTGGAAACATTCATTGAAATCCCAAAACTATACGGACGCGTGAAAATACACAAATCAGGAGCGCCGTTCAGACCCATACTCCCGATGATAAACTCACCATACCACAAATTAGCACAGTGGTTATGTGAAGTGTTGCAGCCCTTGCGGAAACGCTTCGGAACGTATATAGTTTCTGATTCACTTCAGTTTGTCAAGCAAATCAAAGATTTCAATGTATCTGATAATAACATTTAGTTTCTTTCGATGTTACCTCCCTCTTTAAAAATGTGTCAGTCGTTGAGACTATGGACTTCACTTGTTAAGAAACTGAAGACGTACCCATTCCAACATTGGAATTGAGGAAATTGCTACTTTTATGTACTAAAAATGCCCAGTTCCAATTAGACGGGTATCTATTCCGTCAAGCTGACGGTGTCTCAATGGGAACCCCTTTGGGACCACTTTTCGCTGACTTATTCTTGTCACGCCTAGAAACCGGTACCTTGCAGAAACTTATACAAGAAACGGATGTATACCAAAGATATGTTGATGACATTTGTATTGTCTGTGGAAGCAGATCAAAAGCTGAAGACATGTTGATAAAATTCAACTCATGCCATCCGAATCTCAATTTCACAGTAGAACACGAAGTAAACGGTACTAGTAAATTCCTAGACGTTTTTCTAGCGAAAATGAATTATGGCACAATCGACAGATCTATATTTAGAAAGTTTTCATGGACAGGACAGTACATGCATTTCAAGAGCTTCGTCCCAATCCAGTAAAAAAAGAACTTAGTTAGAACACTGTTCAATAGAGCACGAAAAATTTGTTCTGACAGTACTATTGAGAATAAATTAAAATCTCTGAAGGATGTTTTATCTAAGAATGGATATCCTGAGAAGTTCATTAATAAATACTCTAAAGAAATTGCCCCTGCAAAACAATCTAAACAGTTCCAAAAAAACCTGTCTATATCAGTTTGCCACTCAAAGGAGATGATTTACAAGAAGTAGTCAAATGAAAACTCGACAAAGCCATCAAGAGAACTTATTATTCTACAAAAGTTGTTTTCTTTAACACCACCAAGTGAGTGCTTCAACAATCTGGGAAAGATCAGTACTCGCCAATCCTCAACACTTCAAACTGCCTATATCATTTCGAGTGTGTTTGTGGAAGCCAGTACATAGGTCGTACAGAAAGGTGACTGTCTACTCGCATGATGGAGCATTTGCCAAAATGGTTGAAAACAGCTGAGTGAAAGGTGCCGAAAACCTCAATAACAAAACAGCTTGTGGACTATGGACATGGTATCAACGCTGTCAAGTCATTCACTATTGTCAGAAGACAAAGAAACAGGAAGATGCTTGCAACTGCAGAGGCTTGTGCAATTGGAGTTTATAAACCAAGTTTCTGGGTGCAAAAGGAGATGGTCGTGACTCTGAATCTACCATGGTAATACGTTTCACTTATTATTTTACCTCTTACTATTATTATCATTATTATTCTTGATTCATTTAAAACAATCCTTTATCAGTAGCATTATCTTAACTCACTTCAACACTATTATTATTATTTTTATTATAACTATTACTATTGATATTAGTCTATGTGTAATTGTTGTTATATTCTCTCATGACTAATTGTTTATCTATCTTAATTTTGACCTCTCATACTCCCTCTCCCCTTATCTATTTGAACATGACCTGGAAATCATACACACCTGTCTTTCTGCACGAGTAATTCAATGCAGTTTATTTATTATATCTCCCAATGTAATTTCAAAAGTATACATATCCGTGTATGTAGAGTATTCAGCTGACGAGTTCTACCGAAATTTGATGAATTTATTAAATCATCCTGCTTTATTAACCTTTATTGCTTGTTTTACATGCATATTTAGTAACTAGTTTCATAACCTCGCCTAGTTTCATAGCTTACTAGTTTTCTAGCCGATCCAAAACCCGGGTAAAAAGGTAGGGTTGAGCGTGGGGCTAGCAACCCCACACTACTAAATCTTACAACCCGCTAAAGAAACTTCAACACACAGAAAATATACTAAAAATAAAAAAAACTTCAAATAAAAACAATCTTATTCTTCGCTCGAAACCGAGAGGCAAAATGACACAGTGGGCTGATGAAAGCCTTCAGAAAGCCAGTCAGTTAGCCGATGTGTCTTCTGTCGATAAAGGCGAGAGTAAGAACGGGGACATGGAATGTCCATATAATGTACGAGACTGGCTGTGAAGGCTCCCTAGGTAGACAAAGAATTGCGAAGATATGGCCTAGAAATACTGGTTATCTGTGAAAGCAAATAGAATGGATGTTGGCTGACAACACTGTCAACGGAAGAGTCAGTAATCTACTCCGGTCCGGTCACCCAGACGACATCCACGAACACACTTAGGCAATGAGTGGCTATAATGATGTCAACACTGGCAGCTAAAGCCCTAATGCAGTTGGAACCAATTTCATCCAGGATCATATCAGCAAGATTCAACTCCAAAAAAAGGAAGGTAACAATTATCCAATGCTACTCAGAATGCTACAAAACAACGTGGAACAAGAAAAGAAGGAGGATTTTGAACAAAGCAAGAGCTACAGATTTGCAGAATGAAGTGGTACCATCTTTTATTTCGTTGCCTTCTTGTCAGCTGCTTACAGACCGAAAACATTATTAAATGTATCTACAAAATCAATTTTAACATACTTGCACAGAGTTCACTTTAAAGAAAAGTCAACCGATCAGTATATGCATACAGTAATAATATATACAAATATATATCACTATAGAAACGATTAGCTTCATTTTAGTTTAGACTATCTGCTTGAGTAGGCTGCCTCACTATTACCATGGCTAGTCTGACAGCCGCTAGCAGTAGAATCCATGACTCAAAATTCATCTTATTTGCAACCAACAACTAAAGTCTAAAAGTCAAAATTTTACTAATTAATTTGGTTCATATGTGTCAGCGGAATATTACAGATCTGAGGAGATAATTTTAAATCATATTCACTGCACAAGAAATGACTCTGGTGGCCTAAGAGTCTAAAGAAGAACGCTTTAAAGTTTGAAGAGATCGGTGTCAGAATTGGATCTAAGTAGAAACATCATCACTAAGAGAGGAGGTTGTTCACTCAGCTCACAAGTTTGAAACAGAACGAAACACGCATTATGGATTACATTAGATGTTACCCCCAAGCATGATTATCCAATTGGCTCTCTTCACTTCTATGAAAATCTGAATTTTGAAGGGTACTGTCAAGTTAAAGCTTTTATATTACTGACTGACCTCACACACACATGACACAAGAAGCATTTCCAGCTGGGTGCTAGACACTTAAGTAGGCAACAGGGAACTCTGTGAGAACAAAATTCAGGTCGATTCGAAATACTTTCAGGCGACATCACAATGTCACTCCCTAAAGAGGACTCTAAACGAGTAGCAAAAATTAGGGCTGCATAAAGACGACATCGGAAATATCACGTGTGGAGGTAATAAAGGCTTGCGTGCAGCCGTGGAGTGGGTTGAAAGTGACTGCAGGGTAGAATTCAGATATACAACTGAAAGAATATATACTCCACTCGGAACACTAGAAACAAATAGCTATAGTAATGCTCACAGCTTACCTGACATTTGATCTTCTACTAAATTTTTTAATCCTTGGCCGTTTGAATTATTTTCAGGTTGTTTAATACACCGAAGAGTAGTCAGTAGACTGAATATCTGATAATCTACACGAACATCTAAAATATACTTGAATACACATTAAAAACCAAAAAAATTACAGATTAACTTTTTAGAATAAGACAATGACGTAAACATAAATGAAAAATGAATATTTCTTTGTAGAAGGTCAACTACAAAGAATATTCATGAAATTTTCAGCATGGAATTTTAAGACCTTTATCAACAACTGTTTTCACTGGATCTATACTGAAGATCAGATGGCCGGATCGGAAAGAATCGCCAAAAAGAAACTATGGGAACAAACAAACAAAACAGGAACGAACCAATCGCCAACCAACAAATATGCAGGAGAAAGTGGAGATGGATGGGATGAACACTCGCTGAGGAGGCCGTTGGGTGACATCGTGCGCGCATCAGGCCATTGCTCTAGTGGAACCAGGCCGAAAAGGAAGCACGCAACGAGTTGGTCGTCAGTGCAAGGGTGACATGGAGGAGACCTTGTGAAGAGGAGTTGAAAGAGTATGGACTAACATGGATGCATGTGGAAAGTACAGCAGAAGACAGAAGCAAGTGGAGACGTGCGGTTAAAGCCCTATGTTTCACTAGGAACCCAAGGGAACAATAATAATAATATAATTATTCAATGGTTCACCTAACGCTGTGCATCCAACGTCAACGTCACTCATAGACTGATATCAGTCACAAAGTAGATTACAACTGTGGAACAATTTGATTCTTATTGTATATGTTCTTCGGTAAAAATTCGGTACCTATTATGAGACAGTATTCGCTGAATCCTTCAACCTCAGCAGAGGAAACTGACTCCAACTTTGAGATAGCACCGGTTTAAAACGCAATTACACTTAATCAGTGAACCACAGCGCAGCTATCTTTGAGAATTCGTCAATATTTATACCGATGAGCTGCCTACATTGGTGGTGCAGAAGTAAAATGCCCGCCAACTACATACAGTTCAAAATTTGATTCCCAGACGATGTATTCTTAAACTTGATCAAGCTGACAGTAAGTTCGGTAAAGAAGAAATATCACCGCTAGTGGGAATCAGAAGCCTAAAGCCTGAAGCAATGAACGGATAAACAAATTATTCCAACATGACGAAGGGAAAAAATGTATTCCGTATTTCCCTTTATAAAGTATCATAGAAATAATATCAATAAGAATAAGAATATCATCTTCGTTATGCCATTACTTGATAATTGTCTTACTTCAATAATCTCCAGACTTTTCACTTTTAAATCTAAAAGTCTGTCACTGCTGAAACTGGTCAGTAATGCTGACGGCGATGTTGTTGACCCCCTTTCTCTAACTAAAAAAAAAAGAGAGAATATTGAAAATCGGAAGTGTGGCATTATAAAGTGTAAATTACAAAATCGTTATCTGATGTTTGAGAAGATGAGTGAGGGTTTCGAATCCCACAGTGGAAAGACTATCACTCACTCAGAATGCGGATTCATTCAGCTAACCTATGAAACAAGCATCCTGGTGAAGTTCAACACAAGTCCATACCTGATTATAGATGTATTTTTCAGCTTATTCAACAGGATGCTAAGAGTGTACATTGCAACATGAACAAATATCAGCCATCATCATCAGTTATTTTTTGGACGTAAAGTTGGAGAGAAAATACAACGGGACACTCGAAAGTTCTGTATATCGTAAAGACACATATAGTGGTCTTTATTCGAATTTCAACAGCTTCTGACCAGTGAGATACAGATGAACACTGGTGAAAACGCTTTTCTCTAGATCGAAGACAATATGTTCACCAAACAAACTAGACAGTGAACTAATGCTTCTTGAAAAATGCTTGAAACGAAATGGTTACCCATAAAGTTTCATTAATAAATATGGCAAGAATGAACCCAAGAAGCTTGATACAGCTACAGTCAGTAAGAAGCCTATTTTCATCAAACGCGACTGCAAGAGCGACGACATTATGAGAATGGTAAATACAAGATTAAGCGCAGCCCTGTCTAGGACGTATCCTGCAGCGTTATTAGTCTCTCTTGACCCGAACAACCTCCCCACCTATGCAGTCAAAGATTGGTAAGTACCCCTCACATGTTACCTCTAACTGTGTATACCGATTGACATCTATCTACGGGAGCAGTTACACTAGGAGAACAGAGAGGATGGCCTATGTCAGATTCTGCGAACATGTACGAAGGAGCCAGCGATTAAAAAGGCCGAATTGTTTAAGCTCTTCAATCGCCAAACACCTGATTGACACAGGACAGCACTGAGTAGATATGCTGGAATCATTCAAAATAATTAACGGACAAAGTAGTACCTCAAGTCTTCTCGGGTTTGCTGAAGCTATGGCAATAAAACGACTGAAGCCTGACTTATGTGTCCAAAAAGAATCCGTTGTTGGAGTTCAATTACCCTGGTGACTCACCTCTAAGTAAATCTTTGTTTTCTATATTTAAGTGTTGGTTTGTAGGGATTTGGTTGGCTACAGGATTTCATCATGAGCTGACATTGGTTAGAGAACCATGGGAAAACCTGGGACTCTTGAAGTGTTCCAAACTAGGACGAAATAGCTGTCCAGTACTCCCAGCTGGTTTTTCAATGGTTCTCTAACCAATGTCAGCTCATGATAAAATCTTTGTTTTCTAACTTTGTTAACTTATATTTTCACTCCCCTTCTTTTTGCTTAACTCTCTTGAGAGATAATTTTTCTTGATCTTATGAGTTCTGCTCACTGTATTACATCACCAACTTCTCATCCGACCTCTTGTGTACCGAAATGTTAAAAATTTTGATCTTCTCTTATCTAATTATGTAACTATTACTAATCAATTCAATTAAGAATGTCAATGTGGCAGAAAAGAAAATGGTCTCCCTGGATGTCGTGTCTCTCTTCACCAACGTTCCACTGACAGAAACCGTATGTTTCCTTTGTGACTACATTGAATCCAATAACATCAATGTCGATATACCAATTCATTACCTGAAAGAACTGTTACTTCGATGCACCTTCAACGTATACTTTAGTTTCAACAAAGAAATATACAGGCAAGTAGATGGAGTAGCAATGGGTTCTCCCTTAGGACCCCTTCTAGCCGACTGCTTTATGGCTAGCTTAGAGAACAACGCCTTATCAACAACTATCAACGACCTCCATCTCTACAAGAGATACATCGATGATACTTTCATTATTTGTGATGAGAACTGTGATTTAAAAAACCTACTTCAAATTTTCAATAATGCCCACCCAAACATCGACTTCACACTTGAGACTGAATCCGACGGAATGTTCCACTTCCTCGACGTCCATCTGACAAGAAACGCCGACAACTCCCTGAAAAGGTCCATATACAAAAAGCCTACATGGAATGGACAATTCATCAACTTTCAAAGCTTCGTGCCCCTGAGCAGAAAGAGGAACCTGATATACGCTCTTTCCTCGAGGATTCGGAAGATATGCAGCGAGGAAGTGGTTGAAGAAGAACTGCGTAATCTTCGAAAAACCCTGATGGAAAACGGTTTCCCGCCCAGGTTCATAGAAAAGAATCTCAAACCTAAGAAGACTTCTGAACAAGTCCAATCCGTCCCAAAGAAAATGCTTCTGCTTAATCTAGAATTCAAAGGTGAGATTGAAGCAGAAATCCTTCGCAGACGCCTCTCAAAATCGCTGAGGAAAACATACTTCGCCGCTAGCCTACGACTGACGTTTTCCTGCAAGAAACTGTTCAGCCAGAACGCGAAAGACAAGCTGTCGCATTGGGCCACCTCAACGTGCATATACCAGTTTACTTGCTCTTGTGGAGCTGAGTACGTTGGCCGTACCATGCGCCGACTTGAAAAACGCGCTCGTGAACACTATCCAGCCTGGCTAGTAAAAGGAGAACGAAAACGGGTAAATAGTTCGGTGACAGAACACCTGGTGAATTCAGGACATTCAGCGCCACTCGAAAAATCCTTCAAAATCATTTACAAGATTCGATCAAACCCATCAAAGGGAGTAAAATCAAGACATCTGGGCATAGCCGAGGCGCTAGCTATACAAAAGCTCAAACCCACGCTTTGTATACAAAAGAAATACGTCCAACCCCTGTCCTTGCCATGGCCATCATAAACAGGTAATTTTTAGTAATCACCATCCCATCGCCTTTCTTATCTAAACTTCCTGTTTATTCATGTTATTTCAAGTTTTTCTTAATCCCTGTTTACACTACCATATTTTCATACCCGAACTTAGTGTTTATTTTGTCATTTTACTATTTCTACATATTTAATCCCTGATTGCATAAACAATTATTCATCACATTAGTTTTTATCCAAACATCCTGTCTATTTTGTTATTTCTACATTTCTAACCCCTAATTGCACAATGTCAGTCTTCTTAGTTATTATAATGCTACTTTGTTTGTTTTATCCATCCCCCTGTTTATTATGGCATTCTAATTCCCAATTTTAATTTTTATTAATTTGACCCTTGACCGGATATTATTCTGGAACTTTCCCATCCATTTGATATAAATACACGAATGTACAGCCTAGATGATGACTTCGTCGAAAAGAAAATTTTCTTCGCTGCAACTGTCTTCTTATTACTAATTTTTTGTTACCACCCCAACAACACAACTGTTAATTAATTGTTTTTTTTCAAGAAACTTCTCTCTAACAAGATATATATATATATGCTGTAACCCTTTAGACACCCTGTAAATCGCAACGCCTTATTTTACTATGACGCTTTGACAATATGCTTGCTAATGGGCAAAAGTTTGTTAAAATTGTACATTTTTATTTTATTGAAGAATTCAGGTTGTACGCAGCTGATGAGAACCAACGAAATAAAATGGGTCCAGATTATTCTGCGGCAATGTTTCTCCTTTCTTTGTTCAAATCATCATCGTCATCATCGAAAACTAATGACTTCTAAAGGCACACACTATTTTATTCTGTCTTAGCTTATGACTTTCACATTCCTCTTTAAAATTGGTTTTAAATTCTGAATTCCATCAGTCAGGTTTCTAGCTGTGGCCACCATTTAGGTAGCTCGCTAACCATCACGGTGCACATTGATTTGATGATATTAGAAATGACTAGACACATCACACTAGTTACTAGTGTCAAAACAAAATATTCAATACATTCCTACAGGAGGTCAATCGCGAACTCGAATAGCTCAGTGGTAGCGTCTCTGACTCCAGTTCTCACTGGACGTCACGGGTTCGAATTTCAGAAGGGACATGAGTTCCTTCAAAGTGGTTGCAGATACGCCTTGCTGATGAGTGCCAACCAGCACGAAACCTAGGTCCAAGGCTTCCTACCGACTGCCTCCAACCGTCGGCGGCACAGTGGTTAGGACTCTTGCCGACTATGCACATGGTCCGGGGTTCGACACCCTGCCGACGCACACCTGATATCTATGGTCGACCTGCGAAATTTGGGCTACCGATATCCATGCTGAAAATTCCATACTTGTACCAAAAATACGGTGTGGAATCAAGCTGTAATCAAAAATAAAATAAAGAAAATAAATAAATCTAATATCATTTTATTACATAAAATACTACTGAAAATTCACGGAATGATGAAGGTGAACCTGCCTTTAAAACAAGATACTATTATTGTAGTTACTGTTGTTATCATTTTCACTAACCTTTATTCACTTCACCTTTCAAATCACTCCTAGTGCTGCTGCTGCTGTCACAACGATCAAGCATGAAGACAAGCTTTTGACCCAAAATCAATAATTCCTCCGTGTTATAAAGTCCAAAAAATACTAAATGTCTTGATAAATTGATAATCTTGAAAATGTAAAATTAAAAATGTTTATAAACGACTTTAAGCTTAACTCGTTAGTTCTTTTCTCCTAATTTACAAGTGACTATAAAATGAGAAATTTTACTTTTAGTTAAAAAAAAGATCAAGTTGAAAGCAAAATTTTTTTCGAATACCGACTTGTAGGCATTTGACAGATTTCAATTTCAGTCACGAATTGAGAACACAGTTAGAGAACCAGTGAAAACCAAAGCGGAGTATTAGATAGTTATTTCTTTTTTTGTAATAATAATAATAATTTGCTTTAATCCAAAACAGCACTTGTGATACAGAATGGAATTTTCAGAATTTCACTACAGTACTGCATCTAGTTTGTACATTAACAATAAATAAAATCCTCCATAGATTATGGGAAATCTCGGTTAGTTTTGACGACAACAACATATTAGCATGTCGTTAGCAAAGCCGAAAGAAAACAGAATGTTTGAAGGTGTTTGAAAAGAAGGTGCTAGCATATTTACTGGCGTAAGCGGTAACAAAATGGTTGAGATATACAGTGTGAAAGAACGAAGAATTTTTTAATTAGAGTTTGCAGGGAAAATAGAAACAAAAGAGCACATAACAAAATGAAGTAGAATATGGTTGAGTTTTTGTACTCGCTAGTGCGAGCATATAGTTTTCTATATAGGCCTCTGGTCTGTCTGCCTGATGAGATACAAGGGGAGAATCGTGAATGAAGAGGTGGTGGTGTGAGTTAGATAGATAGAATGGATTTGGCCCATATTTCACATGAGTCAATGTGCCTGTCCACCAGAATATTAACAAGCTGGTTAAGTGGCACGTAGCTTACCCTGCTGACAACCTTTAACATCCTACGCAATAAGGTATAGTCTTTCTTCAATAGCCCAGGAACGACTAAGGAGGAACAATAGAGAATAATAGGCAGAATACGGGAGTTAACAAATTGTAGGAGTAAGGGTTGGGTTACACCAGAATGTCTTAACTTCTTGATGTAGAAGGTAAGGCGGAATATTTTCTTAGAAATCATCAAGATATGATGAGACGACCAGGAAAGATCAGCAGATACAATGACGCCTAGGTATTTAATTTCCGACTTGGTTTCTACTTCAATGTCATCTATGTTGCACACCTCGTGAGTGCTAACCAGTTTGTTTAGGTCAGATTTGTGCCTAAAGATGAAATTGACTGTTTGACATTTAGAGGGATTTAAGGTTAGACCGTTTTCCTTGGACTACTAGCTGATTTCTGATAAAAAGCCATTTAGTTTGCAGCAGTCACTTTGACACTTGACAGGCAAATATACAATCAGATCGTCAGCATATTTAACAAAATTAATGTCATTTGAAGATGGTTAATCATGTAGAAAGAAAGAAAAGAGAAGTGGGGAGATTACAGCACCTTGGAGGACACCAGCTTCAGTGAGTCCAGCAGAGGAGGATTTACCTTTGTATACAGTGTACTGCATTCTCTTTTAGAAGTAGGAATGCAACCAATTAGTGACCCAGGACTGAGTTTGTGTCATCGAGAGCTTATTTAGCAAAAGACATTTAGGTACAGAGTCAAAAGAAGAAGTGAAGTCAAGAAACGTGTTTAATTATTTGATTTGATACCTGGTGGGTCTGTGGGTATTCGCAGATGAAGAGTCAGAAAAAGAACGACAGAAGTGTTTAGCATTCGCCAGTGACTGAAATCAATTCGTTATCGAAATTAAAACAGAATATTTTTAGATCATGGTTTAAGTTTGAATGAAGAGTATAGAAGAACTTGAAGATTTTTAGTTTACTACTAGTAGTATGATATAATACATTTAAAGGTGCACTAAAGCTAAAGTTTATCAGTAATTTATTATCATCATTATCACTGTTCTTACTTTTATTATTCATTTCTAAGATTCTCGCAGCGAATCATCCTGTAAAGTGTCACTCAAAAAGTGCACAGAAAGAAATACATATGGAATAGACATAGTAGTAATGTGGTAACGATCCACCTAGCATGATGGGCACATTTCAAACTTGACTGATAGAACTCAGTCAACACCAAATGAGGCACTAGACACATGATACTAGTCACTGACTAATATCCAGTCAACAATATCCAATATGGTTCTACAGGAGGTCAATCGCGAGACGGAATACCTCAGTGGCAAGGTCACAGACTGCATCACTGGCTGACATAGGTTGGAATTTCAGGAGGGACATGAGTCTCTTTAAGATGGCCGATACACCTTGCTAGCTGGTGAGTGTCAACAAGCATGAAAGTTAGGTCGCAGGTTTCCTGCCGACTGCCTCCAACCATTTAATAACAAAATAGATGTTGTATACTGATGTCCATAATAGACCCAGTTAATTCAAAAAATGGCGTAGTCGCGAGCATTTAAAACGATAAATTCTGACAAAAACATCTAGATACGTAAGTGTTGGTATGCAGGGATTCGATCTGCTACAGGATTTCACCATGAGCTGACATCAGTTAGACAACCATTGGAAGATCAACATGGAGTACTGGACAGCTGTTTCGTTCTGGTTTGGGACTCTTCAGCAGCACGCCCCAACTGGGGTTCGAACCAACGACCTTCTGGACATTGGCTAGAGGTCACGCTGTGTCGTGAATTGGCAGAAATTAGAATTCATGGGCCAATGAATCGAGTCCCAGGGGCTGAATGGTCAACGAGCCCACCTTGTAACCCATAGGTCCTGAGTTCAAACCCAGTCGGTAAGTGAATGCCATTAGTTAATCACAAGATAGTGGGACGAAACAGCTGTCCAGTACTCCCAGTTGGTTTTTCAATGGTTCTCTAACCAATGTCAGCACATGATGAAATCCTGTAACATCTAGATATGATATGTCAACATTGATTTCTACAGCTCTTTGCCGCTTTAACATTGCTTACTAGACAACTGTGCATTCGTTCAGCTTGGATAGCTACTCTTTAACCTTGCCATGTTATGTTTAACTGAATGAGAATCAGGAATTACAATTATCTGATTTTCTAGCATAGTTAAATAAACTCATTTGGGTAGAACAGAAAGTTCTTCATACAGGTGAAACTTTTGAAGAACTCCTGAAGGCTTATACCTGTTATTTTCATGAAAAAAAGTACTCATCTCTAAGTTATTCCTTTTAGAGAATCTGGTTCACGAGTATCTTCGAATTTTTTTCATACTTAATTAATTAAACCCTATGCTGTGCCAGTGAGTAAATATGATCCTTCAATGTAGATTTCGTCAAGGACCAATATCAGGTAGAGAATGAATAAAATCCATCGGGCACTCTACGTCTTAAAAGTCAATCTGAAAGAAGAATATTCTTTTCAATAAGTTCTCCCCTTCAAGCTCTTACAATTATAAAATATAATATATTTGTTGTAGTTACAATAATGATAGCCAGTTAGTTACGCGGCGGATACATTTTTTAACGTAGATTAGCAGTTATAGGGTGTCAGAATAAATAGTCGTATTTGTGTGACAAACGTGATAGGCTGAAATCGATCAGAAAATATTTCGGTGAAATGGGAGACAATAAACCTCTCATTGCATTCTTACTATCTCCTGTTTAATACAGACCACTTTGTACTAGCCACTCACTCACCTGACACCTTTTATAACCTTGAAATGACTTGTCAATTTTCCTACCCCACACTCTACAAATCTATTATGACGACTAATCACCATCATAGTCTCTCATTTCACCGAAATATTTTCTATTGAATTGAATTCTTGATTTTCCCGTCGATTGATTGGACCGAAGTGCTCGGTCTCAGGTTGACATATCGGCTTCTTGTGCAGATGCTTCGACGATGTCTGGGAATTTGATTTGTATACAATTAGTGGATGGTGGCTAGCAGTGGAATCCAGGATGCACATTTCGTCCTATTTGGGACTCGTCAGCTGGATGTACCTGCATTTCTCAGTGAGTGATGATGTTCCCACCGAGGCTCGAACCCAGTGCCCATAGTTTCAAACGCCAAAGCGTTATCCACTAGACCACTTGGGCCACGAGAGCCACCTCTTGTGCAACGGGTCATATTAATTATTGAATTGAATTCTTGATTTTCCCGTCGATTGATTGGACCGAAGTGCTCATTTTCTAATCGATTTCAGCCTATGACATTTGTCACACAAATACGACTATTTATTTTGACACCCCATAACTGCTAATCTGTTAATCTACGTTAAAAAATATATCCTCCGCATAACTGGCCTTTATTGTAACTACAACAAATATATTATATTTTATATTTGTAAGAGCCTGAAGGGGAGAACTTATTGAAAAGAATATCCTTCGTTCAGATTGATTTTTAATTCATAATATGGGAATATTTCATACCATAAAATCTAACACTCTACATCTGTTTCATTCTAGTTTGGGACTCTCCATTTACAACCATCCCCGCGACTCCACCAGAGATTGAACCTTGAAACTTGAGGTTACAGGGAGAGCTAGTGTACTGTTTAGCCATCTGGTTAGAAATTCACTTACCCCTGTTACTTCTCTGATATGACACTACGGACAACAAATATCATATACTGGTATCCACTTCCCTTTCAAAAAGGTGAACCCATATGATCACTATTTCTCACCACAGATTTAAGAAATATATCCAGTAGACGTCATTCAGCTATCAGTTTGCATTGAGGTTATTGGTTTCTCTAGGGGTTTGGCTCCATAAGCCGAAAGTCCATGATTTCATCCCAGGTGGGGTCGTGCGTGAGAGGTGTCTAGGAGTCGTGTACCGGGATGAAACAGCTGTCCAATAATACTCTTTGGTTTTCAATGACTCTCTGACTGATTGTGATTCATGACAATATGTATACTGAAGTATTACTATAATTAGTCACTGCATAAATATTAGTTATTTATTTTATTCTTTTTCACTTTTCCAGTGGGACATGGGGTTCAAAGTAGAGGCTTGAAAATTTCTGTAGCAGTGGTGTTTATTTTTATGGGATGAAGTTGCTATCCTCATGCCCAACCTTCCCTCTCCTTTACCATTCCTATTACTGGTTTAGCCAGGCAATGGAGTACGTCGGTGGCTGGGGATCGAACCCTGGACTACATGCGTAATCGGTGAACATTGCATGACTTAGCTTATTAGTCTTATTCTGAAATTCCTTATCATTTTATTTATTTTAATTCACCTTTTATCTTTCATATGAATGGATCTCATAACTAAGTGTGCGATGGTAAGTTCGTTCTAAGTGTACTGCACGAATACATCACAGTATTTTTTCGGATAAACACCGTCTTCTAGCATGACGCTGGCTAAAGGAGATTTTTCCATAAATACACCGCTGAAGTCTAGTATGATGAAAAAATACAACAAAAAAATGTGAATATAGTCTATCACTTGTATGAACTATTCAGTTAAGATAAAATACCCACCTCATACGTCAGAGTAATATAACTCGGATCGGTGAGATAACGACCATACACCAAAATATCATCCAAGTATTCATTGATAAAATTCATAACAGGTATAAAATCATATTTAATACTTTCTTGTTTTACTGTATGATTGCTTGCTGCTTCATAACTAAAAAAAAGAAAAGAGAAGAAAAAAATTTATCATAAACTATTATCCTCTATGCATATATATATAGAAATGTCAACCAACTGCCATTTTAAACGCCTAAACAGAATACAGTGAAAAAGGGTACTTAATGCAGCAGAAGTTCATTTGGTAATAAACGATAAGCGTCGGTGGTACAGCCTTCGGGATTCTCTTCGATCATGCACATGGTTCGAGGTTCGATCCCCTTCTGACACACACCTGATATCAGTGGTTGACCTGGATAACTTTGGGCTACCGATATCACATGCTGAAAATTCCATACTTGTACCAAAAGTACTGTGTGAAAGAAAATCCAGCTATAATCAAAATTTGAAAAAATAATTTCTCCCCACTGTGTGTATGTACCAGTTTGACGACTCCTGTGGAGTTAGTTACACTGGGCATACAGTTAGGCTACTCATCATTGAGTTTCGTAACATCATCTAGCATGTTTTAGGCCCTGTTTTAGCTCATCCTGTACATACTGAACGTAAATCTGATATTAACTAGGCACTTGAAGTCACCTACAGCATCCCAGCTAATCTTCATTTTTTCCTTACGCGTTCGTCTTTCACATACTGTTGAGGCCATTGGAGTACACCTGAAGAAGCCTAACTTACATGTGTTCAGGAGATATTCGTGCACACACTATCCTTACCTTATCCTTCATTACTTGATTCCCTCTAAGTGTTGTATAAACCATCATTATTTTAACTACCTTTAATCATAGCATAAATTTATTCTCGATCTCATGTGATATACAATTCAATCACAAGCGAGACAGACAGTTGTGTACAATCAACTAATAATCCTTTTCTTTCATTCTTCTAAATGAGTATGATTAGAAGTGACAGGAGAAGACCTAAATAGGTAGGTAGGCCATGGGATGATGATCGTCAGTGGACAACAATGCACCAATGCACATAGCATCTGGATATTACCCATGAGGCTTATTCCAGTGAAATGATCACCATCTAATTACGCGTTGGATATTGTAACTCATGTAGTTGTTTGCCAAATACAAGATTCAGAGACTGCCTTTTCCGGTTCTGTCACAATAAAAATTTTCATTCAAGTGTTGGTTTGTAGGGATTTGATTGGTTACAGGATTTTCATCATGAGCTGACATTAGTTAGAGAACCATTGGAAAACCTGGGAGTACTGGACAGCTGTTTCGTCATCCTGGTTTGGCACTCTTCATCAGCACGCACCCACAGGGATTCGAACAAACGCTTGAATAACAATGAGATGCTCACTAGCGACTTGTTCTATTCAGGTAGGTAGTTACCTGAGGTTCTAGTGGGAAGTCGTGACCAGTAGGGTGCAGCAGGTCGGGTGTGAGGACAAAGACATTGACTAGCGGTCGTGTTGTGAATTGGTATAAGTCAGAATTCAAGGTTGGCCATTGGATCGGGTCCCAGTGGCTTAACGGTATAGCACCTCGCCTTGTAACCAGAAGGTCCTGGGTTCAAATCCCGGGGGTGCGTACTGCTGAAGAGTGCCAAACCAGGATGACGAAACAGCTGTCCTTTACTCCCAGGTTTTCCAATGGTTCTCTGGCTAATGTCAGCTCATGATGAAATCCTGTAACGAATTTTCATTTCACTTTCAGCTATCATCCAAAAAAAAGCAAAAGTAATTTTTGAATCCAAGACTATCTGAGATAGTCTCAGTGACCGATACACAGTATCCTGCTTAGAGTGATGAATTTCGCATACACTTACATTATAAACTGTGAAACTTTTAGAAAGAAACTACATCCCTGACAGTAATGTTCAGTTAATATTAAGACATGACACTAACTGGGATTTATTTACTGAACAAGCTCTTGATAACACAATTGCCAACATAACACATTATCTTAATTTCTGTCTTGATGTTTGTTGTCCAAAAGAGACAATCTTCTTAAAATTCGATCGCTTCTCCTCTTCTCAACTCAAAAAGCTCCGACGTGAAAAAGAAAGGTTGTTCAAAATGAAAAACAAATCTGGTGTTAAGAGAATGAACACTTTGATTAAGCTTGAATTACAAAGATTGAATGCTCTCTATAACCAGAAGTTTCTTTCATGTAAATCCCCATCAAATATGTGGAAGTTATTAAAGGAAATCACAGGTGGTAAGCAAATGATGAATGATATTTCTGTAGATGTTAACATGCTTAATGAATCCTTTATATGTATCCCAGCAAATGTTATAATTCCTAACTCAAATAGTATAAATAATGACTGCTTCTCATGCTTTAACACGAATGATGTCCTCAAGTGTCTTCAATCTCTCAAGCCTACTCAGTCCCTTGGTCCTGATGATTTTCCTGCTGTTATCCTTAAGAAGTGTGCCGACATCTTGTGTTCCCCATTAACTGACATTTTCAACGAATCGTTTTCCAAAAGTATTACACTTAAATCATGGAAAAATACCAAGATCGTTCCAGTGCCTAAATCAACAAGTGGATCTAATGTTAAGTTTAGACCCATTGCTATTACTTCACCTTTTTTGAAAGTTATGGAAAGACTTATTTTACTTAATCTTGATCCCTCTTTAAAGCCTTTCAACGAACCCAACCAGTTTGCTTATAAACATAGTAGGTGTACGTTAGATGCCGCTGTTGTCCTACATCATAATATAGTCTCTAGTTTAGATAAAGGAGCTAAATACGTTCGCTGTGCCTTCCTTGATTACACATCTGCATTTGTCTCTGTTCCCAGGTCTCTCTTGCTAAGTAAGCTTGCTGCTACACAAGCTGAGAGCTGGACAAATAAGTGACTGCATTCCTATTTTTCTGATAGGAAGCAGTACACCGTCTACAATGGAAAGTCCTCCACTACCTCACTTACTTTAGCTGGTGTTCCTCAAGGTGCTGTTCTTTCTCCCTTTCTGTTTCGTTTTTCTTACATAACTTGCCTCATTCTGATGTAGCCACTTTTGTTAAGTATGCCGATGACCTCTCTGTTTCTATGCCTGTCAACTCTCAGTCAGACTGTTCCAAATTAAATAACTTTCTGTCGGAAATTAGTCAGTGGTCCTCTTCAAACGGACTTAAGCTTAATCCGTCTAAATGTCAGGTAGTCAATTCCAGTTTCAGACGTAAATGTGATTTTAAAAATCTTATATAATTTATGAGGTAATTAGATGCAATATACTGTAATGCACGCTGAAAATTCCATACCTGTACCACAAATACCGTTTGAAATAAAGCTGTTATGATTATTATTATGATGGTGAAAGCTCTGTTTGGATCAAATTTTTCTATTTCCCGTCGACTGATTATATACTGAACCAAAACGATCCGCCCCTGTTAGCATATCGGCTCCTAGTACAGACGCTTCAATAATGTCTGAGAACTAAAATGGTGTTATTCGATGGATGGTGAGCACCAGTGGAAAACGCTGTGGACTAGTGGACTGGCTAGTTTCGCATATGCCAGTTTACGCCGTTTCTGGCTAACTGGCTGTCGAACAAACGGCGTGTGTACTGCTCAGCAGTCTGCTCCATCCTCCTTTATGTCTGTGAGACCTAGGCATTGTAAGTGGAAGACAGCCTGGCTAGCTGTCTTTGGTCATAGGTGTTTGCGTTCTATCTGCCGTGTGAAATGGAATAATAGGGTAAGCAATATTGAGGTGAGGCACATATCGAATGTTAGGTAAGGAAGGGGAATCAATCGGCAAGGCTGTGAAGTTACACGATTGAGAGGGTTAAGAAATGTGTTACGCATGTCTAGCCGTCGTCTTCCTCGACTGGCAATGTTACCTAACATAGGGTCAGGCTGGAAAAGAGCTAGCGGCGGTCAAACCAAAGCATGGCATCAGTCAATGAAATCCACAACAGTTAGTTGAAGCCACGCCGAGAGGTGTAGACTTCCTGACTGGTTAGGCTCCTCGGGACGGTAAAAACCAATGAAGGCTGGATGCCATTACTGATATGGCTCAAAATGTTTCTCAGTGATGGAGCAGATACATCCACGTCTTGAGACTTATGACTTCAAATGAAACTATACTGCTCTTCGTTATTACTATTCCTTTTGTCTCATATGATTGTCTACTGTCTCTGTTATGCATTTCTTCTACTTTCTTCTCTTGCTTTGTGTGCTGCATGGAGGGAGTGTAGCGACTTGAACTGCTGAACATCGGTGGAAATTCCTTTGTCGAAAACAGAGAGACAGACGGACAGACAGACAGACGGGATGCTGTGGACCTTTGAAACGGTGGAGGCTTCATACGAGTTCCATCATTGAGAACACCATAACCAACTGGTGATTGTAAGTGCAAACCAAATGACGAGTACCGAATCCGGTGAAATGCGCATTCCACTGCTAGTCATTATGCATCATAGTAGCGCTTTGTTAACCATGTGAATATTATTTTGATGGAGACTAAAGTTTAAGCAAAAAAGAAATTTATCTTACGTGAAAATATCAGATTTTGTACCCAATGAACTCCATAAACGTGCATACTGAATTGGTTGATTCAATTCTTGAGGATCTCTGTCCACATGAAGATTAAGTAGCAAACGTGTAAAAGAAGCTCGAAGGCCTGGTCTTAGTCGTTCGTTTCGTATGCATCTGAAGAAGAGAAGAATAATGATAAAACATAAGGAAAGAATATTAACTATGCAACTACACAAAAAAGTGAATGTATGCGTATGAACACTGGACCATGGCTTTAAATATGGAATATTGGGGTTTCAATTAGAAAAGAGGAAGTAAGATTAAATTTTCTGTTGACACAACCTTTAAATATTGGTTTTGCAGGGATTTTGTTTGATTGAATGGATGGTTTCATCATGAGCTGACATCATCTACGAGCTTGCGTTTTAACTAGAAGGGCCTGGGTTCGAACCCCGGTGGGTGCGTACTAATGGGGAGTCCCGAACTAGAACGAAACAGCTACCCAGTACTCCCAGCTGTTTTTTCAATGGTTCTCTAACTGTTATCAGCTCATGATGAAATCCTCGATGCAGATAACCTTTAAACTTTATTAAAATATGTATCTAATGAATATTAAAAACAAGACAGAATCCATAGTACTGCTTTGTTCAACTTTTAAAGAAGGTAAATAACAAGCCTACGATTCACTTTTAACGGATACATTAATGCGATTTACACATAATCAGAAAGACGACTTTACTATTATTACTATCATTCTCAAAGGCCCCAATTAGAGTACATCTTTATTTCATTCAGTTATCTGCAGTGTTATTTAGCTGGATACACATCTACCCATAAACTCTTATTTCTTCCTCACAAGATCTCCTCTGCATCACCCTCAGATTCCCAACCAAGTCATCAGTTCCCATTTGGGTTCCATTCAACAGCCTACACTACGTGTGATATCAGTCGATGGTTTCCTCAGCGTATATCTGATCTATCTTCATTTTATTGTGCAGATTTGGTTGACTTGTTCGCAGAGTTCCTTGTATCCCAGTATCCCTTCTAACACCAACTGGCCGTCTGATCTTCAGTATCGAGTGAAAGCAGTTGTTGATGAAAATCCATTGCAGGTTTTTGTAGATGCTCTGTGAACCACTTAGAAGCGGTGATTAACTCTTACCATCAGTGATGAAGTTTCTAATCTTGTTTGTTCCTCATGCTGACCACACAGCAGTTTTCCACACTGATTACAAGAGTAATTAAGGTGTGTTCTGCTTTTTCAATCCTAGTCAGCTTTGACAACCCCACATCTTTCCCGTCTATATTAGAAAACGATCTTGCCTAGATAAGTGAAAAAGGTGACACCACCTTTAGATATCCTCACTTGATGTTTGTGTGTTCGATGTTTTCTGTTGTTCCTTACACCACTTACATCTCCTATGTCTTTCTTCTCCAAGTTATTCCTCATTAGTTTGTTCATTAGATACATAACACAGTGAAACAGTATTATTTACTGGATGACAAGGTTTCGAACAAAATTTATTACTGTTCATAATCATATCACCAATTGTAATCACACGACTTCGAAGCTTGAGTTTTATAGTTTTCTTTGTTCTCTCCTATCTGTCTTAGGGGTGGTAGAATTTTCCAAATATCTGGGTGGACAGGTGTTGAATCATTCCTATTACACATATTCTCTCTCAATTGATTCGATAAACAAAGCTTCCGTTGTTATCAATCTCTCCCTCCACCCTGCTGTGATATTAGATTTTAAAACTGTCATCTTATCCCGTCATCCTATTGTATGGTTGTGTGTAACGGCATGTAGTGCTATAGGTGAACTATTCTCTAGATTTCTTATCTTATTTGAGTCAACCAATCTAGATTTTGCTAAGTTTTTATGTTCGGCTAGTCGGAGTGACTGACTGGCCCTGTTCTACTAGTTTGACGTATGTATTTTACCTGACAATTATTGCAGCAGGGTATTAGATAAACTAAATTGTTTTGTTTTAAAGGCTCCACAGGATTTATCCTTTAACCGACAAAGCTTGTTTCTAATTGAGTTTGTGTGGGGTTTGAGTGCCAGCTGCTTTGTTAAGAATTCTGCTTAAGGTGGTGTCCGAGGTTCCTTCCTTATATGGAAGTACTACTGATGATTTAGATTCCTTATTGTTGGTCTTGTCATTATCTTGCACATGTTTGACATGCATGTCGTCATTAAATTATTATTATTATCGTCACTATCACTGCTAACATTATTTATTTTTACATTTACTTACATATTTATTGACTAATTTATCCGGGTAATTATTAACTTTCAAGGCTTCTTTTATGTGTATCACTTCTTGTCTTAGATTTTCCTAAGTACTACTTAGTTTTTGTGCTCTGTCACTTAAACATTTCACCAATCATATTTTTACTGACATAGGATGGGATGACCAGCAGTTCAAATATCTGTTTGAATTTGTGGGTTTCCTGTAAACACTAGTGTTTAACTTCCCATCTTCTTTCCTTTATACGCTACAGTCTAACATTGGAAGTTCTCGTGCTTCCTGACTTTCCATTTCATCATAAGTGAATTGAACTGCCTTCCACCGTTGAGTCAACGTGTTCAACAAATCTATACATATATCCTTCTTCTATATCCCCTCCAAGTTCACTTGAAGTTGATATGCCTTCTGTGCCTCTTCTACCAACTTGTTGGTTTTCACCCATAGATCTATGAGTTTGTACGGCATTTAGAAATAAATCGTCTATGAAATCCAGATCTTCTAGAGTCTTCCTGCCGGTCTAACATGCATCTGTCTTCTTGCTCTCCATGGTCAAATTTATTCCTTCATTATGACTCTGGCAGTTTTACAATTAATGCTGGCTATAAAAATAGATTGTACGTCGGTAGCACAGCGGTTAGGATGCTCACCGACCAAGCACATGGTCCGTGGTTCGATCCACAGACACCGACGAGGCACTCCTTTACCTCGCTTGCTAGCCAGAAATAATGCTGGTAAAAAGGAAAGGTCGGGCATGAGGAGGCTAGCAACCTCATCCTGTAAAAATAAAACACTGCTACAGAAGCTTCAAGCTACTAGCTTGAAGCCGCCCTATGTTCCGCTGGGAACATGAAGGAAAAAAATAAAAATAGATTATTTGCTTAACATTGTTAGGAAAATTCATTTGAAAAGAAGTGAAATCTAGACAAGAAGAATTAAATGCATAATAATTTCTTATAGATTCCATGTTTACTTTGATTTTCAGCCTAATTCTATATCACACTAATTTTTTTAAAAATAAGGTTATTTTTATCTCTAATTTCACATGTAAAGTAAATTACATTTCCAGACAACATGACTAATTGTTTTTTTTCTCGTAATTTTGTTTCAATTCTTTCCGATGAGAAGAATATTCTTCACAGTGTAATTAATAATACACAGAATGATACCTTGAACTATAAGTGTCTTTCAAGTATCGATTTGTAGGGATTTGATTGATTTTTTCCCTTCACCTTCCCCAGTGGCTTCAGGCTAGAGGCTTGAAGTTTCTGTGGCAGTGTTTATTTTACAGTATGGAGTTGCTATCCTCATGCCCAAACCTCTCTCTTTGCCAGCATTATTTCTGGCTTAGCGAGGTAAAGGAGTGCGCCGGCCGGGGATCGAACCCGGACCATGTACATGGTCGGCGAGCACCCGAACCGCTATGCCACCGACGCAATTTGACTGGTTGGTTACGGGATTTCATCATGAGTTGACACCGGTTAGAGAACCATTAGAAAAGCAGCTGGAAGTACTGGACAGTACTGGACTCTTCAGTAGTACCCACCAACTGGGGTTCAAACCCATGACTTTCTTGTGGTTACAAGGCGGGTTCTTAGGTGTCTTTGGTTAGCATGATACTGTGAAATTAAAAATTCTGCCTTGAGATTTCTGAGGAAAAAGAAACATGTAGGATATTTGTATATTCAAGAGTTGGTTTGTAAGGATTGAACTGATTTGAAGATCGATCAAAAATTGATACCAGTTAGAGAACCATTGGAAAACCATTAGGGAGTACTGAAGAGCTGTTACATCCTTTTTGCAGACTCTTGAGTATTACTCACCCATGACCTCACCATGTGGCACTGCTTTATAGCCAACTGTTGAATGAGGTTTGATAAAGACTTGGGTGTTGCACGCCGTAGTGTTTAAGTAGTTTCCAAATTACTTCTCAGCCAACGCTGTCTATTGAAAGCCTTTTCGAAGTCCATGAAGTTGAGGCAGAAAGAGGTTTGACTGCCATTCTATGCTTTATTCTGTGATGATGATGTGTAGGGTTGCAATTAGATCAGCAGGTGATTTGCTTTTCCTCAGCCCAGTTTGTTCTGGGCATCCAATGCATCTGTTATGCTCTCAAGAATGACGCGACTTAGTGCTTTACCTGGTATGGATAAGACCATTTTTCCATGCTAGTTCCGTCAGAGGCGTGAGTAGCATTTTTTTGATAGCTTGATAAGGTAGCCAACATTTCTTCTAGTCAGTAGGCACCTTTGCTTTCTTCCAAACCTTCTGCAATAATGGCATGGGCACATTTACCACAGTCCCTCAATTCTATCACCATTCATTTATATTGTCAAATTTATTTACCACAGACAATTAAATGATGATACCTGTGATTATATGACTAAAATAACACTTTCTTTTGTAAGCATACCTTTTTACTGGTATACCTGTGATTTCGTCAATTCTACGGTAAACTGTATCCCTGCAAGGAATCCTTCTGTTGATTTCAGCTTTGTGAAAAAATATGAATTACCTAGACTTAGTTCTTTTGTCCTCAGGAATCAGTAATTGTGAGGATATTAGTCTTGCCAATCTATTCACTTTTTATTTCCTATGAAATTTCATACAATACTGAGTGGCCTCATTTGAATTTGATAATAGTTACGTTAACTGATTTTAGGTGGATTAACTGTGAAGCTTTTATTACCTTTACAGACAGCATCACTTTAAAGCTAAACTCAACGCATGAAGTGAACTCATTTAAAACTATCAATCGATCAGATATTACTGTTACTTTCGGCAACTTTCGTCTTGATTAGTTATTAATTTTCATCTGCATTGATCGTTTTTATTCACCTTCAGTTTGACCTTTTTTGTCACGTAGACTGATCTGAGTTAGTTAATAAATTTTGATCCTAAATAATGCGTCTGCTAATCGGTGATTCGTTCGAGCATCAGAATGCTAGCAGTTCCCTGAGATTTTTGATGAATTTCCACGATTTGTATTTTTGTACGTTTCCCAATCAATCAAAACAGTTTTTAAGTGTTGGTTTGTAGGGATTTGGCTGATTGGTTGCAGGATTTCATCATATGCTGACATTGGTTAGAGAACCACTGGAAAACCTCGAAGTACTGAACAGCTGTTTCGTCATCCTCTTCATCAGTACACACCCACCACAGGAGTTTCGAACCTAGGACCTTCTGGTTACAAGGCTAACTAGCTCGTAGACCATTAAGCCACTGGGAACCCAATCCAGTGGCCTATGATTTCTAGCTTCTGCCAATTTATGATACAGCGCGACCCCTAGCCAATGTCTTCGGCAAGTATTTGTCCTCACACAGCACTTTGCTGAAGAGTTCCAAACTAGTGGGACGAAACAGCTGTCCAGTACTCCCAGGTTTTCCGATGGTTCTCTAACTAGTGTCAGCTCATGAAGAAACTCTGTAACCAACCAAGTCCCAACTAACCAACACTCAAATATCGATGAGATGCTCACTAGCGACTTGTTCTATTCAGATGGGTAGTTAGTGGGGTTCGAGTGAGAAGTCGTGACCAGTAGGGTGCAGAAGGTCGGTGTGAAGACAAATACTTACCGCAGACATTCTATGGCTATGGGTCGCCCTATATCATGAATTGGCAGAAGCTAGAATTCATAGGCCATTGGATTAGGTTCCAGTGGCTTAATGGTATACATTTCGCCTGTGTTTAAATTGGTCTACATGTATTGATATGAAAGAATGCATGTTTTATTGATGTAAGAATAAAACTTGTGCACTGTGGTAGAGTGTAATTCCATTATGGGTAAATTTCGTTTTGATAAAGTCTCACAGTGTTATACAGTAATGTTTACTGATGACGTTTCGAGCGCAGTTTATTGCCACTCATAATCATATCAAGGTACTAACACGATATCCTAACTTCATTTATATAGTTCACTATTTTTCACTTGATTTGATTAGCAGTAGTATTTTCCATATTTCAGGTATGATTTACCCATAATGGGATGCATGTTTTATCTTTTGACAGGTATATTACATTCATTGGATTTGAAGTCGAAGATAATGCCCACTTTTGACCGACACAGTGATGATTGCAAGTTATGTAATCTATTTGGTAGATGGTGTTGATCTTGTCTCTACTTCTGTTGTTGGGTGAGTCTTTGGGTCTGTATGATGCAGAATGAAGTGTTGTGCTGGTTTGTGTTTTCGATATTTATTTCAAATGGTAGTTTAGTAGCTATTTTAGAAACCTTTTTTACGCATATTATACGATGAATTATTTTTTGGGTTCCGAAGATGATTTCTTGCTGGTAGTTTGATTCCAATATAGACATTTCTCAATTAAAATTGTAAGGGTATCAATTTGTCCGAATACTGGACTTCAGTATGATCGTGATCAAAATGTGTCCCTGCAAAACTATCCAAACAGTTCCGAAGAAATCTGTCTATATCAGTGTGCCATTCAAACGAGATGATGTGCAAGAAGTAGTCAAACAAAGACTTGATAAGGCTTTCAAGAGAACTCATTATGCTTCAAAACTTGTTATCCTTAACACCACCAGCAAGCGAGTGCTTCAACAATCTGGGAAAGACCAGTACTCGCCAATCCTCAACAATTCAAACTGCCTATATCATTTTGAGTGTGTTTGTGGCAGCAAATACATAGGTCGTACAGATAGGCGACTGTCTACTCGCATGATGAAGCATTTACCAAAATGGTTGAAATTAGCTGAATGCAGAGTGCCAAAAACTTCAATAACAAAACAGCTTGTGGATTATGGACATGGTACCAACGCTGTCAAGTCATTCACTACTGTCAGCAGACAACGAAACAAGAAGATGCTTGCAGTTGCAGAGGCTTGTGCAATTCGAGTTTATAAACCAAGTCTCTGTGTACAAAAGGAGATGGTGATGACTCTGAATCTACCATGGTAATACGTTTCACTTATTATTCTACCTCTTATTATTATTGCTGTTATTATTCTTGATTCATTTAAAACTATCCTTTATCAAGTAGGATTATCTTAACTCACTTCAACACTATTATATTATTTTTATTATAACTATTACTATTGATATTACTCTGTTTGCAATTGTTGTCATATTCTCTAATGACTAATTGTTTATCTAAGTGATGTAATTGAAGCGTGATGCAATTTATCTTAATTTTGATCTCTCATACCTCTCTCCCCTTATCTATTTGAACATGACCTGGAAAACATTCGCACGTGTCTTTCTGCATGACTAATTCAATGTAGTTTATTTACTTATGAGTCCCCAATGTAATTTCAGTAGTATATATATATATATATATATCTCCGTGTATGTAGAGTATTCAACTGACGAGTTCTACTGAAATTCGATGAATTCATTATATCCTGCCTTATTGACCTCTGTTAATTGTTTTAAAATGTGATACATAAAAAAATCTTCGTATCCATATAATTTTATGCGTAAATAACCCTTTAGTTCTATACAGTGGTGATCCATCATAACTGAGAACTGAGTAGCACAACTGAACCTCGACTTGTTTGATCTTCTCATCTCCATGTGCATATTTTTATCTCTACAAACTGTATACTTCTGACTGACTCAGTTGAGTAGTTGTATGCCACTCAAATCAACTAGTAGTACCTGTTATCTTGGTCAAAACAGTCTAAATACTAGGCGGCCATTTCGATCGTTTTATTTTGCCGAGCCTATGTGCTGTGTACATAATTCGACTCAGCTGAGACTGCCGAATCACTTATAATCACCCGATTTTCGAAGAAGCATCTTTTCAACTACAGGCGGAACTGACGAAGATATCAAAGCTAGGATCGGGAAAGCAAGACATGCTTTCATTACTCTCAAGTCTGTGTGGATATAAATCAACACCATTCAGCAAGGAGAATGACATCAGGATTTTCAAATCCTCTGTAAAATCAGTGCTACTTACTATACGGATCAGAGACTTGGTGCGTCATGAAGAGCACCTTCAACAAACTACAGAACTTCATCGACAGCTGTCCTCGCTCAATACCACTTAAGATCAGATGGCCGGCCAGAAACGATCAGTAACAAGGATCTCTGTGAGAGAACCAGCCAGGAACCGATTGTGAAACAAATATGCAGGAATAAATGTAGGTGGACTGGCTATACTCCGAGAAAGTAAGCCATCAAATGACATCACTAGACAAGCCATTGCTCGAGTGGAACCCAAAAGGGAAGCGGTGAGTTGGTCGTCCAAGGGTGACATGGAGGAGGTCATGTGAAGAGGAGATGAAAGCATGTGGCAGACATGGAGCAAGGTGAAAAAATTGACAGAGAACCGAACGCAATAGAGACGCGCGGTTGAAACCCTATGTTCCTCTAGGAATTAAAGGAAATAATAATAATACTCGATTTTTGCCCAGCTCTATGGATGAACTGGTTGGTAATACATTCAATCGATTTCATAATTTGTAAATTAATCCATGATTTGTAATTTTCACATTTCGAAGTGAAACTTCACCACAGATATCACTTTGATCTGTCTGGCTAGCAAGTACTACCAGTTGATATGATTGCTATCTAACTTCGTGCATCAATTTATCTAGTAGTATATGACTTTTTACCTCTATGAAATTGTATATATTAGGCATGACACCAAAAAACAAAACAACTAAATACCGAAATGAAACAAAAACCGCTTCTTACTTCAGCAATAAGTCAATAGGCAGCTTTGACATAAAATAATGAATAGCAATATACTGTCTATCTTGGCATAACAATGCAAACAAATCAATTTGAGCTTGATAATAATTCATCATCAAAGAACAAATTGAGGTATGCTTAGCTTGTTTGTTATCCAATCGGCTGATTTTGACTGATAAATTATATCGCTGAGAATATTCAGATTTAATTCCACATGGTTATTGACTTGATGCCTTGCAGAATGATTAATAATTAAGTAGGAGTTGATACAACTTCTCCAGAAATATTCATCTAGAATATTTGTTTGTTTCCAAGTTAAGACGACAGCCAGTTCTGATTGCTGCTCTGAGTTGATAATTGTTTTTTCACTAAGTGAAAAATTTAGAAAAAACACAACAGAACAAACAAAAACGTGTACATTTAATTCCCTTGGAAAATTTTGACAGAGAGAAACAAAGACCAGATTTGCAGTATAAAATGTGATATCATCATTCCTGTCTGTTTGTTTTCGACATAGAACTTTACACAAATGTGCGGAAGTTCAAGTCGCCACATTCCGTGTAGCACGCGAAGCAAGAGAAGAAAGTACAAGAAAAGCATAATAGAAACAGTGAGCAGAGGTGTGAGACAAAGGAGTAATAAAGAAAAACAAAACAGTTTCATTGAAGATCATAAGTCACAGGGAGTGGATGCATCTGCGCCACTGAGAACGATTTTGAGCCATGTCACCAATTGTTTCCAACCATAGATTTTTACCGTCCCGAGGACCCCAACCAGGAAGTCTACACCTTCCTACGTGGCTTAAACTAACTGTTGTGGATTTCATTGACTGGTGCCAAGTTTTTGTTTGACCGCCGCTAGCTTTTTTCCAGCCTGACCCTATATCCGCTAACATAGCTCGTCGAGGGAGGCGATGGCTTGGCATACATAACACATGTCCTAACCATCTCAGTCTTTGTAGCTTCACGACTTCGTCGATTGATTTCCCCTGTTTACCTAGAACTCGACGCCTAACCTCCATGTTGCTCACCTTATTATGCCACTTTACACGGGAAATAGAACGTAGGCACCTATGATCAAAGACAGCTAGTCTTTTCATGTCTTCCACTCCCAGTGGCCAGGTCTCACACAGCCATAAAGGAGGACGGAGCGGACTGATGAGCAGTACACCCGCCCTTTGGTCGATAGTCGAACATCTCGTCTACGCCAGAGTCGGCGTAAACTAACAAATGCGAAACGAGCCCCTTGTATTCGTGCTGAGATTTCGTCAGAGATCAACCCGTTGGGGCTGATGGTACTTCCCAAATAAGTGAAGCGGTCAACGTGCTCTACCACTTCACTTCCTATTTCTAAACTAGGCGTCGATGTAGTCCAGTCCTGTAACATCATCTTGCATTTGGCGGGAGCGAATCGCATGCCAAACATTCGTAGATTGCCGCTCAAGGTGTTTAGAAGACTCTGCATTTCGTCAGCGTCTTCGCCTAGAAGGACTATATCGTCTGCATATTCCAAGTCAACGAGATTATTCCCCGGTAGCAAGTCAATTCCTGAGTCACTGAAGTCACCTAGGGTTAAGTCCATTAACACATCTATGATGAAGTTGAATAGAAAAGGAGATATCATCATTCCAGTTCACAGGTTCTCATCAATCAGCTACTGCAAACCACTGCTTGAAATTACAATGGTTATAAATAATGACATTTCATACTTCAATGTTTGAAAGGTAATAGAGAAAACACTCTGATCTTCTTCCTCTACCAAAAAACTGGAATTTAAGCAGCTTCTCATGTAATGTACTAATGATATAAAATTCCAATTTGACAACAAAACGTATCGCCAGATTGATGGTGTGGCAATGGGGAGTCGACTGGGCCCGATATTAGCTGATATTTTTATGACCAGTCTGGAAAAGACAACGCTCAAGTGTGCATTTGGCGAAACAACAGCCTATTATAGATACGCTGATGACACATTCATTGTATGCAATGATTTGAGTTACACTTCGTCTCTATTAGACTCTTTCAACAATCTGCACACAAAAGCATCACTTTCAAGATGGAGCAGGAAGACGATGAAAAATTCCATTTTTTGGACACTAAATATCTGTATATCGTAAAGACACATGGAGTGGTCTTTACTTGACTTTTAACAGCTTCTGACCAGTGAGATACAGATGAACACTGGTGAAAACCACGCTGAAAATTCCATACCTGTACCACAAATACTGTTTGGAATAAAGCTATTATTATTATTATTATTAAAACGCTTTTCTCTAGATCGAAGACAATATGTTCACCAAACAAACTAGATAGTGAACTAATGCTTCTTGAAAAATGCTTGAAACGAAATGGTTACCCATAAAGTTTCATTAACAAATATGGCAAGAATGAACCCAAGAAGCTTGATACAGCTACAGTCAGTAAGAAGCCTATTTTCATCAAACGCGACTGCAAGAGCGACGACATTATGAGAATGGTAAATACAAGATTAAGCGCAGCCCTGTCTAGGACGTATCCTGAAGCGTTATTAGTCTCTCTCTGACCCGAACAACCTCCCCACCTATGCAGTCAAAGATTGACAAGTACCCCTCACATGTTACCTCCAACTGTGTATACCGATTGACATCTATCTACGGGAGCAGTTACACTGGGAGAACAGAGAGGATGGCCTATGTCAGATTCTGCGAACATGTGCCAAGGAGCCAGCGATTAAAAAGACCGAATTGTTTAAGCTCTTCAATCGCCAAACACCTGATTGACACAGGACAGCACTGAGTAGATATGTGGAATCATTCAAAATAATTAACGGACAAAGTAGTATCTCAAGTCTTCTCAGGTTTGCTGAAGCTATGGCAATAAAACGATTGAAGCCTGACTTATGTGTCCAAAAAGAATCCGTTGTTGAACTTCAATTAGCCTGGTGACTCACTTCTTAAGAACTCTCTGTTTTATAATTTGGTTATCTTATATTTTCACTCCCCCCTTTTTTACTTTTCGTTTGACTCTCTTTGAGAGATAATTTTTCTTGATCTTCTGAGTTCTGCTCACTGTATTACATCATCAACTTCTCATCTGACCTCATATGCACTGAAATTTTAAAAATTTTGATTTTCTCTAATCGGATTACATAAGTATTACTACTTTTCTTTCGTTACCACTCCAACAGCACAACTGTTAAGTAATTTTTTTCAAGAAACTACTCTGTAACAGGATATATTTATATATGTTGTAACGCTTTAGACACCCTATAAATCGCAACGCCTTATTTTACTATAACGCTCTGACAATATGCTTGCTAACGGACAAATTATTATCATATTATTATTGTTCCCTTAGATTCCTAGTGGAACATAGGGCGCCAACTGCACGTCTCCACTTGCTTCTATCTTCCTTCTGCTGTACTTTTCATCTGCATCCATCCATGTTAGTCCATACTCTTTTGACTCCTCTTCACACGATCTCCTCCATGTCACCCTGGCACTCACGTCCCACTTGCTGCTTCCCTTTCGGCCTCGAGCAATGACCTGACGCGAGCGCGATGTCATCCAGCGGCCTCCTCAGCGAGCGAGTGTCCATTCCATCCATCTCCACTTTCTCCCGCATATTTGCTGGTTGGCGATTGGTTTGTTCTTGTTTTGTTTCTTCCCACAGTTTCTTGTTGGTGATTCTTTCCGGCCCAGCTATCTGATCTTCTGTATAGAGCGAAGAGAGTTGTTGGTAAAGGTCTGTATAGCAACCTGTTGGAAAAATTCTTTGTGACCCGACCGCCAAGTTTCTGATCCGTATAGAAGAACTGACTGACTTGATGCTTGCATTGAAAATCTGAGCGAATTTTGTTGTTGATGCTGGCTGAGTGACGAAGATTTCCAGATTGGTTTCAGGTTGATGAATGTGTTTCTCGCCTTCTCGATTCTCGATTTGACATCCTTGGCTAATGGACAAAAGTCTGTTAAAATTATACACTTTTTATTTTCTTATCGAATTCAGGTTGTACGCAGCTGATGAGAACCAACTAAATAAAATGGATCCAGATTATTCTGCGCCGATGTTTCTTCTTTCTTTGTTCAAAACATTATAAGATGAAGGCATCCGGACTATAAGCATTACGAATATTGTAGCTTAAGTCATTATCAGTTTATATGCTTTCAAACTATGAAAAAACTGGTGAGGTTAGAGAAGAAAAAAACAGAAAAATCTAATAAACAGTGTTAGCTTGTACGTCAACATAGCAACTGAAGGAAGAAGGTTAAAGTTCATCAAACTGAAAACTTGCTCAGTAAGCTGAGCTCACTAATGTGTATGACTAATTAATCAGTGTAATCAAAGTAGTACAGTTACCAAGAGAGTGAAAGATTGACTACACTCTCTTTCTGTGTGTATAAGCTTGGTCTGAGACGTTGATTGTAATTGTTTTAGTGAATCGTAGGAGAATCGCTGTCCTTTATATGTTAATATTTTGAAGGATTTGGAAATCTTGACAAAATGACCCGTATCCAGAGGGTGGGTGTCTGGTAACTGCACTTTGTAAATATTTGTTTCCTTTTAAGTATAACTTTCTTGGAATATGCTCTGAAAGCCGGATAGGAGTGTTTTTCATAGTTTGAAAGCATATAAACTAATGATGACTTAAACTAAAATATTTGTAGTAATACTTATAGTCCGGACGTCTTCATTTTATAATTCTTTCTTATTACCTTTCAACATTTAAGTATGAAATGTCATTATTTACAACCATTGTAATTTCAGGTAGCTTGCAGCTGATTGATGAGAATCTGTGAAATGGAATGATGATATCATTTTATTTTTACGAGTTGATCACGGATTGATATCAGTTAGAGAACCATTGAAAACCAGGGAGTACTGGACAGCTGCTGTTACATCCCAGTTTGGGAATCATCAGAATTACGTACCCAATGGAGTTACAACCCAGGAACTTCTGGTTAAAAAAGGCAAGCTCGTATACTATTCAGTCACTGGGACTCGACCTGATTCAATCGCTCATGAATTCTAACTTCTACCAATTCGTGATGCATTTAGCGCCCCCCCCCAACCATTGTCGTAGGTGGGACATCCATCCTCACACGTGACATCTGGATGGTCCTCACTGGTCTCAGCTTATCACTAGAACTCCAACAAACTCCATCCTATAGCAAGTAACTAGCGAGCATCAGATTAATTTTCTATAGTTTGATTTGTAAGGGTTAGTTTTATTTTTACGAGTTGATTACGGATTGATATCATTTTATGCTGCAAATCTGGTCTTTCTTTCTCTATCGAGAAAGTATATTTTTGGACAAAATGAAACAAACTTTTATTGGCGAAGTAAAATTATTATTATTATTGTATCCTTTAGTTCTAGAGGAACATAG